TGTTAGCAAAGTTACACTTTTATTCTCCAGACTCGCACACTGCAATATTTGAGTTCCACATGTAATTTTAAATTTTCTAATAGTCACAGTAAAAGGTAAAAAGAAAGAGGTGATAATTTTAATAACAAATCTTATTCTTTAACCCAATATATGCAAAATATTACATGTAATCAACCTAAAAATATGAATTGGTTATATATATATATTTTTACCTAGTCTTCAAAATCGCTATGTATTTATTTTACACTTAAAGACAGCACATTTCAACTAGGAAAGGAAATTCTCATCGGGAAAAAAATCTTTTTAGATTTCATAAAATTTGCAATTGAAAAAGTAGATTCAGTAGGTAAGTTGTTCCAAATGCTCTGAAACCTTCTCCAATGGTTGAATTATTAAGTATCCATTTAAAATGTTCCCCTTTTAAATGGATACTTAATAATTTTAAGTGGATACTTATTAATTTATTTATTTCAATGATTTATTAAAAATAAATTTGAAAATGCAGTTTCTTAGAGAAAATAGCCAAGTAAAGTGCTCAATAGTTCATGGCTACCGTGTGAACCTCGTGGGTAAAGACACTTCAGGAGCCCCTTTCTGAGGCTAAGACTCATCCAAGGATTCAAATGATCCCAAAGATTCCTCAAGAGTTGGAAGTTTACAAAGGAAGGAAAGGAGGAAAGAAGCATCAGAATCTAATCCCGTCAAAAAAAAAAAAAAAAAAAAAAAGCCTGGATTTACAAAGAGGCCAGGGGAAAGATAGGCAGAGCGAGTACAGAAAGCGAGGTATTGCTGCAGTTTTGTTAAGGCATAAAATGAGTACAGGCCGCGCTGCAGCTCCCGCACAGAAAAGTTTTCCGTAGAAAAAAGTAGAATTTGCGTTGGCCGGGAATCGAACCCGGGTCAACTGCTTGGAAGGCAGCTATGCTCACCACTATACCACCAACGCGGCCGAAGATAATTCTTTAAAAATCTCTATATGAGAGAAGCAAAGCGCATGCGCTTCCCGGAAGTTTTAGTAGAGTCTTCTGTTTACGATACTGTGGTTAAGCACGCAAAGCCCTCACTCGATGAGAACGATTCCTTTGAATCAGCCCCGCCCTCAGACGGCTGGGGGCTGTAAACGCAGAAGCCATTGACTCCCGGAGCCGGATAGCCGGGCTGCCTCACAGCCCAGAGAGAAAGCCGGAGTTAAGCACACCGGGGGATTTTGCTCCGCCGTTTCTCGCACACTCGCTCTCCTCACGTCCCGGCGCTCCCAGGACCGCAGTTCCTCGAGACTCCGCACTGCATCCGCCGGGTGTCGGATTAAGCAATCGCGATAGGTGCGTAGGATCTGAGGGAGACCGGCCAACAAAGGATCTACCTTGACTTAGCTTGACCCATCAGCCTCGACGAGTTGCCAGGGAAAATGGAGCCTTAAGGTTTAGTTTGGGTAGTGAGGAAGTAAGTAGGAAAGAGGAAAGAGCTGTCGGGGACTGTTTTATTTTTCCCGCTTTGCGATAGGGTTCAGAGAGAGAGTTTTATTTGAAACAATTAATAGGCACGTTAATATGACCTGATATCATGCACCACCAGTATATGATAAAATTAGGGGAAATTAGGAAAACGCTCCCGGTGTATGTCAGGATGGCCGAGCGGTCTAAGGCGCTGCGTTCAGGTCGCAGTCTCCCCTGGAGGCGTGGGTTCGAATCCCACTTCTGACAAGCTATGTTTTGCGTTCTTATTTTTTTTCCTGATTTTGAATCAACCAGCAACTATGTTTGAATTCTTAGAGAAGGAATTTTTAATCGATCGACACTGCATTTTATCCTGCGTATCTAAATTTACGAAAATTATTTGTGCTTCTCTGCACTTACAGTACTAACTCTATTTTTTCTGTATTGTAGGCTGGAGTCTGGGTTTATGAAATCAGGGAGCACTTGAGACTAAGATTTATCCTTAACTGGCATTTTTTGTTGTTGTTAAACTTTGGACTCCAGCTTCCCAGTGTCAAGGTATTCATTCCTTTATTCGACAACAATGTGTAGAGCCCTTTCTGTGCGTCAGGCACAATAAGGCCGGCAGATACCATCTCCTTTGACTAAACAAGAGAAATCACTCAACTCAGGATCTTTTAATTTGCCATACAGTACTTAGTCTGAGGGTTTTGTTTTGTTTTGTTTGAGACGGAGTTTCGCTCTTGTTACCCAGGCTGGAGTGCAATGGCGCGATCTCGGCTCACCGCAACCTCCGCCTCCTGAGTAGCTGGGATTACAGACACGCGCCACCATGCCCAGCTATTTTTTTTTTTTTTTTTTTTTTGTATTTTTAGTAGAGACTGGGTTTCAACCATGTTGACCAGGATGGTCTCGATCTCTTGACCTGGTGATCCACCCGCCTCGGCCTCCCAAAGTGCTGGGATTACAGGTTTGAGCCACCTCGCCCGGCCCACCAATGCCAATTTCTTAGGTTTGATTAGTATATCATGGTTACATAAGATTTTAACATTAGGGGGAGCAGGAAGGATATAGAGTAACTTTATATGGTATCTTTGTGACACATCTCTTCATCTAAAATTATTGCAAAATTAAAAATTATTTTAAAAAACCAACAACTTGAAAGTGGTTGCCTGTGAGGAGTAGAACCTGGGAATGGGTCAAGAAACTGCCTGTACCAAGAATCAATTTTTTTAATAATGGGCATGTGTTCTGATTTACTTTGTTCCAGTTTTTTTTTTTTTGAGGAACTAGGAGACATAGTTGTGATTACAATGATCAAACTAAGACTATGTACAAAATAAGGATTTTTAGATGCCTAGTATACAAGAAACAGTCCCTAGAGAAACTAAAACAAAATGATCAACAGCCATTTAAAAGTAAGTGAAGTTTGTTTAAATCTCTCTATAGAAAAATAGATTGCACTCAAGTGGGAGGATTTGAGATGTCAAAACTAAATACAATAAAAATCTTTCTTCTTATATTCTATGTTTAAAAGGGGAAAGAGGCATGCTATCAAAACACTAAGAAACTATACAAAAGTGAGTACCATCAATCCTCTTGAGAAGTACAAACAGGTTGAGGGTGTCAATGTCAGAAGCTAGGAGGAGATTCAGGAAAGGGAGAATGTAATGCAGGGTATACACATCTCTCTCTCTCCCCGCCCCTCCCCGTGTGTGTGTGTGTGTGTGTGTGTGTGTGTGCAGGTTTCTTTCATGTGAAGCCAGATTGCATAAAACTTGGGTCAGGGCCAGGAAAAAAGGGTAGTTAAAAATGTGAAATGACAGCCAAGGACAAGTGTGTTATTAGTCTAACCTTCTCTCCATCTTTAAAAAAATCAACCTAAGAAATATAATGTATAACATAGCATTGTTCTAGCCAAACTCTCCCATAATTTCTGAGATAAAAATAAATTTCCCATTGTGCATAGGGCAAATAAACTATGGACTGGATTGATTGGGAACTAACACAAGTTTATCCTTTTGATTATTTTGTTTATACCAACAAAGCAAAGGCAAATATCCTTGCTTTTATATTGTGATTGACTCAACTGGCAGTAAACTCGTGACTAAGGATATTTCCCAGGTTCAGTCACTTGCTATTAAAAACACACAACTGATCACTAAATGAATAACATAGATATGCAATAAAATGCACACTTTTTTCCACGGGGCTCAGCATCCAACTGTATTCCAAAGGAAAATATCTTACATATATATATAAATAGAGATGGGTTTCACCATCTTGGCCAGGCTGGTCTTGAACTCCTTACCTTGTGATCTACCCATCTCGGCCTCCCAAAATGCTGGGATTATAGGCCTGAGCCATTGCGACCAGCCCAATTTCAAAATATCTAAGGGAAGATCTGGTAATAAGTGGAATTATATAAGGTGGAGCTATGTAAGGTGGTAATAAGTGGAGTTATGTGAAGTTATTTATAAGGTGGCATGTCAGTCTCTAGAATCAGGCAGGACAGGGCTCTTCATTCCAGCCCTCCTTTCCCCTGTCCCCACTTAATAGCTATGTGTCCTTGAATAAATTGTTTAATCTCTTTGAACCTCATAATCCTCATCTTCAAAAAGAAGATAGTATTCCACGATGCTGCTGTGAAGACTGTCAGATTGTGTATATCAAGTACCTGGTACATAGTTGATACTCAACGACTAGTAGGAATTGCTAATGTTTGTTGATAGCATATTATATGCCTGACATTCTTCTTTGCCTCTTACATATATTAATTAACTGAACCCTCACAACAATCTGGAGGTTGGTACTGTTATCATCATCATCCCCACTGCAGGGAAGGGGAAACTGAAGCTTGGGAAGTTTAATTTGCACAGTATATAAAGTGGCAGGGCTGAAAATCTAGAGTCTTGTTCCAACATCCTCATTATGCTACACTATTGCTGTTATTGTTGTTATTATCCTGGGACCCATAGGCAGAAACCAGATGGGATCATACTATTTCTCTGACATAGATAAAGTCAATAGTAACTTTAATCGTATCACCAGACCAACTTCCTCTGACATATACCATCCTCCAGAGTCCAGGACTCTGGGTTTTTTCTCTAAAAGAACAGTAGATAAAGTGACATGATTAGAAAGAGCCAATAAGCATGTAAATTATTTGTTAGTTTTATTAAAACATCTAGACTGACAAACCAACCAGGCTCCTATGATAAAAATACAGAATTTGTATCATAGGATCACACATGGAAACCTTGCCAGTACTTAAGTTTCTCCTCATTCTCTGCTTTTCCAATTCCACATCTCTCCCTCTCTCTTCCTGCATTTTAAGTCTCAACCCTCTCCTCTTTATCAGCCCTCACTCTTCAGTACGGTTCCAATGGGTTGGCCTGAAACTCTTCTCCAAATCCTGCTTTCCCCTATAGAAATCATGTACATGGCCTCAGAAATATTCTTCGCTTTCCTCTTTCAGCAACCACCCCAACATTTTCTGCTTCTGAAAGCCTAGTCCCTTCGTATACTTGTGTACTTTGATTGGTTGGAATCAAAAGCAAGAAGGAGTTTTAAAAGTTTATTTAGGTCTATAACTATATTTCACATAACAAAATTCATACATGCAAGTAACAAAATACACAAAATATAGGCAAACGCAATGTTAAAGTGCCACACAAATGTTAATACATTAACGACTTTTAATTTGAAGCAGAAGAGGATGAACCCTTCTCTCACCGAAAAGTCAAAAGACTTCAGTTATGAAACATCCTGAGAAGAAAGCTCTAGCTTTGCCGGGAAGATTCCCCAGCCCTTCATCTCTGAAGGGCAGGATCATAGAAACAGTCTAGAAGGCCCACAGCATAGCCCTTACAGTCACAGCTGACTTATCACAAAGGGCCATTCAATCAACCTCCTCAATGATGGGGCCGTTGCTGGGGTCCCCCTGGCGGGCTTGAGCTCCACAACTGCTGCCCCCAGGGACACTAGGCCCCCCATAGAGCCTGGAGAAGATGGGGCGACAGATTTGCTCCAGCTCTGTCTTCTGATGCTCATACTCCTCCTTCTCTGCCAGCTGGTTGTGCTCCAGCCAGGCAAGGACTTCCTGACACTTGTCTTGCACTTTGCACCTGTCCTCTTTGGGAATCTTGTCCCTAAGGCTTTCCTCTTGCAAAGAGCCTTTCACATGGAAGACATGGGCCTCCAACGAGTTTTTGGCAGCCACTCTGTCCCTCTGGGCCTCATCCTCAGCCTTGTATTGCTCGGCCTCACGAACCATCCTCTCCACCTCTTCCTTGCTCAGCCGGCCCTTGTCATTGGTGATGGTGATCTTGTTAGCCTTACCTGTGCTCCTGTCAGTGGCTGTCACACTCAGGATGCCATTAGCATCAATGTCAAAGGTCACCTCTATCTGGGGGACTCCACGTGGGGCAGGAGGGATGCCACTGAGTTCAAAGCGCCCCAGCAGGTTGTTGTCCTTGGTCATGGCCCTCTCACCCTCATACACCTGGATGAAGACCCCAGGCTGGTTGTCCGAGTAGGTGGTGAAAGTCTGGGTCTGTTTGGTGGGGACAGTGGCATTCCTCTGGATAAGCGTAGTCATCACCCCACCTGCTGTCTCCAGCCCTAGAGACAGGGGAGCCACATCCAGCAGCAGAAGATCCTGCACTTTCTCACACTTGTCCCCCATCAACACGGCCGCCTGCACAGCAGCCCCATAGGCCACAGCCTCATCAGGGTTGATGCTCTTGTTCAGCTCCTTGCCGTTGAAGAAGTCCTGCAGCAACTTCTGCACCCTGGGGATGCGAGTGGAGCCCCCCACCAGGACGACGTCATGGATCTGGGCCTTGTCCAGCTTGGCATCCCGCAGGGCCTTCTCTACCGGCTCCAGAGTGCTGCGGAAGAGGTCTGAGCACAGTTCCTCAAAGCGGGCACGAGTGATGGACGTGTAGAAGTCCACGCCCTCGAACAGGGAGTCAATCTCCAGGGTGGCCTGGGTGCTGGAGGACAGGGTGCGCTTGGCGCGCTCACAGGCTGTACGCAGCCTACGCAGGGCCCGCTTGTTCCCGCTCAGGTCCTTCCGATGCTTCCGCCGGAATTCTTCCACGAAGTGGTTCACCAGCCGGTTGTCGAAGTCCTCTCCACCCAGGTGGGTGTCTCCAGCAGTGGCTTTCACCTCAAAGACACCGGCGTCAATGGAGAGAATGGACACGTCGAAGGTGCCCCCGCCCAGGTCAAAAATGAGCACGTTGCGCTCTCCAGCGCCGCGCCGGTCAAGCCCATAGGCGATGGCGGCCGCCGTGGGCTCGTTGATGATCCGCAGCACGTTGAGCCCCGCGATGGCGCCCGCGTCCTTGGTGGCCTGGCGCTGCGAGTCATTGAAGTAGGCGGGCACGGTGATCACAGCGTGCTTCACGGGCTGGCCCAGGTACGCCTCGGCCGTCTCTTTCATCTTGCTCAGAACCATGGACGAGATCTCCTCGGGGTAGAACGCCTTGTCCTCCCCGCGGTAGGACACGCGCACCTTGGGCTTGCAGCCCTCGCTCACCACCTGGAAGGGCCAGTGCTTCATGTCCGCCTGCACCGTGGCGTCCTCGAACTTGCGCCCGATCAGCCGCTTAGCGTCGAACACCGTGTTGAGAGGGTTCAGGGCCGCCTGGCTCTTGGCCGCATCCCCGACCAGCCGCTCGGTGTCAGTGAAGGCCACGTAGCTGGGCGTGGTGCGGTTGCCCTGGTCGTTGGCCAGGATCTCCACGCGGCCCTGCTGGAACACGCCCACGCACGAGTAGGTGGTGCCCAGGTCGATGCCCACCGCCAGCTCCCGTGGGGCCTGCATGGCTGAAGCTTCTCGTGGATGCTCGAGGTGGTTGAAGCTGCTGCTGCTGCTCAGCAGTCGAAGGGCGCTCCGCCGTGGGCTCTCCCCGCGATTTCTCTCCGGCCGGCCCGGCTCGGATCTGCTCCGCTTCGCTTCCACCGGCTTTTTATCCGCTTGCGCCTCCTCCCGCCCGCGCCGCCGCGAACCTTCCCGCACCTTCCCGGCCGGCCGAGAGCCTCCCGCCCGCCCGGGCTGACTCAGCGGGACTGCGCCGCGCTGACGCCGGGAGAAGGTTCGCGTGGATCGGGTCGTGAGCCCCGGGGCTGAACTGCTACGCCAGCCCCGCCCGCCTCTGACTCAGGGCTGCTGAAAGAAACGCGGGGAAGGTTCCAGCTCCTCCCGCGGGCTTTGAGGACGCGCGGCTGTGGCAGAGGCCGCAAAGGCAGCAACTTGAGAGTGAAGGTCTCTCCGGGGCCGTGGGAGGTCGGATCCCTGCGGCTCACAGGCCCCCTGGCTGCCTTGGACAGCCGCTGCGAGTCCAGAGGCTCAGGAGGGCCGAAACCAGGCTACCATGCGAAGACAGGCAAGTATCTTAAAACAGTTTTATCTTGAACAAAATATTTTCGAAATCGCGATTTAAGCCGACTGAGAGCTTATCGAGCGGCCAGAGAAAATAAGCCTTAAGGGATAATACTGCAAGCCATCCCTCGCCGGTAGCATTGGTGGTTCAGTGGTAGAATTCTCGCCTGCCACGCGGGAGGCCCGGGTTCGATTCCCGGCCAATGCACGCATAGCTTTTTTTTCCGATTCATTTCAGTTCTTTTGCTTAACTTTTCCGGTTAACTTCAGTTCTCTCTCCAATCTAGGATTAATGACTCTTGAGTAAATGAAACCAGGTGGGTGAAGACTTTAGGTCCTCCCAGTTTGGTTCTGTCTCCTTTTACCACGTTCCTGAGAGGAGACATGACATCGCTGTAGCCCTAGGACTGGAGAGACTTCGCCGCTCAGTCCAAGGGAGAACGCAGCACCCGGGAAAGGAGATACAGAAACTGTATGTATATAAAGGTCAGTGACATTCACTACCTGTATGTCCTTGAACAAGTAATTTCACCTGTCTGGGCCACAGCTTCCTCAATTTTAAAATGAAGAGATTGGACTATATTGTTTCTAAGGAGTTCGCAGTTTAAAAGTCTCTGATTTCAAACAGCAAAGAATTTATTCATTCTGCACATATTTACTAAGTGCTTTATCATGCACCAGACTCTAATCTGGGTTCTGAGTATGTGGTAATGAACACAACAGACAAAGGCTTCTCCTGGAGCTCACATTCTAATGAGAGGAGTGGGGAAGTAAGACACAAAACAAACAGGTAAACATATATTAATAATACGATGGAGAAAAATAAAGCAGGAAAGGGACATTAGGTGTATGGAAGGGGAGATGGGTTATACTAAATGATCAAGGAGACCTCACTGATAAGGTGTGACATGTGAGTAAAGACCTATTGGACATAATGAAGCATGAAGTAGGTCTGTGAGAAAGAACATTCCAGAAATAGGAAATGAAATAGGCTCTGGGCAGAAGTATAATTGGCATGTTCAAGGAAAAGCAACAGTGACCCAAAGCAAGCAAGGAAAAGCAGTAGGAGATGAGGTCAGAGAGAGTGAAAAGCAAGATCATCAAGGTCCTGTGGCATCTTGTAGAACACTGCAGAGGTTCTAGCCTTTACTCCAATTGCAAAGGGAAGCTAATTAATGTATGATTTTGAATAAAGAAGTGACAAATATGACACATAATTTTCAAAGATCACAACAGTTGTTGTGGTGAGGAGAGACTATAGGATGGCAAGGGTGAGTGTAGGGAGGCCAGTCAGGAGGCTATTGCAGTAATTCAAGTGAGAAATAAATAATGGTGGCTTGGACCAGGGTGGTGGGAGTAGAATATCAAGAAGCAGTCAGATTGCTGGGTGCATTTTAATGTAAAAGCAGGATTTACTAAGGTTTTGTATATTTGAAGAGTCTCTGTCTAGGGTGATATGGTTTGGCTGTGTCTCCACCCAAAATCTCATCTTGAATTGTAATCCCCACGTGTCAAAGGTGGGGCCAGGTGGAAGTAATTGGGTCATGTGGGCGGTTTTCCCCATGCTGTTCTCATAATAGTGAGTGAGTTCATGAGAGCTTATGGTTTTATAAGCGTCCAGCACTTTCCCTGCTTGCGCTCACTCCATCCGACCACCATGTGAAGTGTCCCGACCCGCGGGACGAGCAACGCGGACCCTAGGGAGGAAGTGGGGATTATGGGAGAGACAGGAGACTCGAAAAATGGAGACAAGTCAAGGGATCTGATCAAGTCTCATTTATTAGGCACAAAGCAGCAGCTTATAAGCAAGCAAAGGCGGGAAAACTTGGGGTAATCGAGTCAGAGAGTAACCATGGAGATGAGGCGCAGACTGGCCTCGTGATTAAGAAGAAAGTGGAGAAGAGATAAGTGGGGCAGGATGTGGAGAGATAACAAGGCCACAAGACTGCATATCATCACCTTTAAGATAGCCAGATGGCTATTGCTTCCTACATGAAGAAGGTGCCTGCTTCTCCTTTGCCTTCTGCCATGATTGTAAGTTCCCTGAGGCCTCCCCGGCAATGAGGAACTGTGAGTCAATTAACCCTGTTTTCCTTATAAATTACCCAGTCTCAGGTATTTCTTCATAGCAGCGTGAGAAAGGACATTTCACAGGGTCTGGAAGCTAAAAAGTGGGTGGAAGCTTTATAGCCTCCTTAAAAATCAATGTAAATTATCCAGCAGAGGAAGCTGCTAAATTTCAAATGCAAGAAAAAGTTTGCACAATGATACTGTGTCCCAGGACAATGGAAGGCTTTTTAAAGGCACTCACCAAACCCTCAAGGAGACTGTTGGTCGTGTTTCTAATCAGCCTGGAATGGCTTCTCTGAAAAGGTTACATCCATCTGGTAACTACATTGGGAGCAGGACATGTCAGCTATCTCCACTGACCACTAATCTGAAGTTTGCCTTTCTGAGAACTTGTATGGCAAAACAAAGTGAGTGTTTTACTTGCCATAGGAGAAGAGGGAAGAAGGCATGGAGACAAGAATTCAAGTTCATTAGAAGAGTATTCAGTTTCAAGAAGAGGGGCACTCACCCTACACTCCAAATCCCCATCTCTCCTCTCCCCCTCATCCTATCCATTACTACCTTCTCAAAATTTTCATCAGTGAAAAGAAACTGACCCCAGATAGCTCAGTCTACATCCCAACCAATACAGCCCTGAAAAGGTAAACACAATGTTGTGGTTATAATGTTTTATTATAAAAATAATATATGATCATTATTTAAAAAGAAAGAAAGAAAATAGGTCATTAATAATTCCATCACCTTGAAACAATCACTTTCAATTTGTTATTAGAGGTTAGTCTATTTTAACATTTCTGAAATCATATAGACTTATGTGATTGTTCTCATGTAACCTGTAACATAAGCATTTCTCATGTTGCTACGATCTGTACAAACCACTGTTAACAACAGCGGTTTGATTAATTGTATTGGCTATGTGGATGTGGAACAGAAGATTCTTGATATCAAGAGGGCTGAGGCGTGGAAGGTGCAGTCAGTCATCTGGGACCATACTGTCTGTGGCTTTCAGGACACGGTGCTTCAGGGACTCAGATGACTCTGGAAGAGTTCCTTTTGGAACTGCAGCATCCCCTCGTCTTCCCCAAGGGGAAGTTAGTCCAGGAAATAACAAATCCTCACCTCTCTAATTCTCTTCTAATTCTCTCTCAAATCCCAAGGCAAGACAATGTAGACTTAAATGTGGTTCTGGTAATTGAGCTGTTTGTTCTTCTGGAGCTTCGGACTGTATACACAGTGAATAGGTGATTTTGTTCTCAGCTTGGAAAAGGCAGAAACCAGCTGTAGGGATCCACAGAGAGGGCATAGGAAAGAAGTTTAAGAGGCCAGGCATGGTGGCTGATGCTGGTCATCCCAGCACTTTGAGAAGCCAAGGTGGGCAGATTACTTGAGGCCAGAAGTTTGAGACCGTCCTTGCCAACATGGCGAAACCCTACCTTTACTTAAAAAATAAATACAAAAGTTAGCTGGGTGTGATGGCACATGCCTATAATCCCAGCTACTTGGGAGGCAGGGTTTGCAGTGAGCCAAGATAGCACCACCAAACTCCAGCCTGGGCGACAGATTAAGACTCTGTTTCAAAAAAAAAATGTTAAAGTAAAAATTTGAGGAACAATATACTTTTAAAAAATAATTTGAGTAAGAAGCAATTCATGAACTGGGCAACCCCAAACCAAAAGAAGTTTAGTGTTCCAGTGGCAAAATGTCACAGGCAAGTATTTACTGGGAAAATGTGGAAGCACAATAAAGACATTTAATCGATTTTCAATTACATAATTGTTTTGGGGGGGTGGGTGTCTTGTTAGAAAGTCCTTAGCCTCATAATTATATCTTAGTGGGCTGCTTATAATTGGCTGGGGTTGTCTTATTTCTAACATAAGCAGTTAGGTTTTGACTATGCTTGTAGTATGACCCGAGTGAATTTTGCTTTTGTTTGTAGTTTAAGCAAAGTTAACGCTATTTCTAAGGCCCACATAGTTTTGTTTGCTCAGGAATTTTTCCAGTCTCCATTCCAATTTTGCTTTAACAATTCCCCTCTTTTTGTTATCCACTCAGCAAGCTGAGAGTGTGACCACATGGCACAACGTTACTCTCAGTTATTACCGTTGACTTAGTTGTTGGAAGGAAGAGTCAGGTAGAGGTTCTTATCGTCTTCAGCAGGTGACCTGGGGTTCAGAGTCATGTAGCCGCCATCAACCGTTTCATAGTCATTGTTAGTTTCTTCATGTTGTCTCGCTCTGATGGCAGTCGTTTGACGTCCAAGTGGCTGCAGGAAAGCATTTAAAACTCATAAGGGACTTCAGTGCACCAGGGAGGTAACTACAATAACTACAAGGGGAATAATAGCCAAGGACTGAAAAATTCCTCTGAGCAAAGATTCTCCAGAGCCACGACTTAACCAACTGAATAAATTAATGAATATAAATAAATATTAGGTGATGAAAAACTCATATTTGTTCTTTAAAGCCTTTTAAACTTTAGGAGGCTATTGTTTTGGACTAAGCTCCTGCACTAGCCCCAAACAGAACAGATTAAAAATCAAAATGGAATCACTCATGCTAAAATTTTAAGTCACCAAACAGAAACTACATTGTTACCCGCCTTTAGAAAGATCAGGAGAGAGAGATAACAACCCAATTTCCCAAACAGGCCAGTTTCAATTGGCATGGTTTAATCCTTACAAAAAAGTAACCTGATGTTAATCAACCAGTTATTTATTATTCTGTTTCCCTATTCCTCTCTTTTGCAACTTTAACCAACTTTAAAATAGCCAATCCACTTTAAATTCTTTGTTTCTGCTTTCTTCAGACCTTTTTCTGTCTTTGAAGCCAACCCCCTCTGCTGTAACTCACCGGCAACCTTATTCTAATTTAAGGAGACAAGTGTTGCCCAGTCCTAGAGTCACCATAAAGCCAACTGAGATTTTTAAGCATTTCTTTTGACATCAGTGGAAACACAAGCTCCTCCTTGTTAAGCTGCAAAGGTATCAAGAACTTCTATTTTAGGGTGTTGTTGAGGCTAACTTGGCTCATTTTCTATTGTATTGCTTGAGAGGAACTCAGGGTATTAGTCTATTAAAAAACTGAAGTTAATATTTGGAGCAAATTATGATCTTAGTTTTCGAGTTTAGAGGGCAGCTAGGTGAAACGATTTCTAGATGCGAGTTTGAAGCAAGTTTAAATGGTGCACTGAAGATGGCAGTTGCAATGTGATGTGATTTTCTAGTTTGCAATTTGAATGTCTCTGGTTATATCATTAAATATTCTGGTAAACTTTCTCAGTGACCCATATAGCAGCAGGCATTGAGATTGTCCATACGTGCTCTGTTGTCGTGATTTTTCTGAAGCTTACAGACACCAGTTTCAGTTTGTAGAGCTTCGGAAAAGGGCAGTTTTAGTTTTCAGTTGAAAAAAAATTCAGGAGTCAATCCAGTTTATAGGGAGATAATAAAACCTCAAAGAAAATGAACAGGCCTAGAATTCGACAATGGGTGCACAATAGTTTTCTACTAAAATATAATTGTTTTTATTCTGGTGAAAAATATTTTCATTTTCCATTTTTACCAAAAATTAAAGTTGTTTGTGCAAAAATAAGTCTAAGTATTACCTATTTTTGGTTATAATCCAACTTGAATTTCACTTGTGTTTGCAGTTTAAGCAAAGGTAAGACTATTTCTAAGGCCTGGGTGGTTTTGTTTGCTCAGGAGTTTTCAGGCCCAGTCTCCATTTTAATTTTGCATTAACAAAGGCAGAAAGTGAGGAATCAGGGGAGAAGGATGGGCGGGGAGGAAAAGGAGGTGGCTGGGATTACTCACATCAGATTGGGCAGCCTTCACAGGATCAGTGGAACTGGCTGTGGGGGAAAGAAAAAAGATCATCCAGGGCACTGCTGTAGAGAAAAGGGCCTGCCTGTGCTGATGCAGAGGCTGCAAAACCGTAACTAGACTCAAGGCAAGGACTGCTGACCCCTTGACACAGCCCTGTAAGGCCAAGGGCTAAGTAAATATGGCTTCATGTACCCACCCTTGCGGTCGCCCAGCCACAGCCTTCCCCATGGGCCACACTGGCAGAGGGAAGCAGTCACTTGGGCCACATTCTTTTCAGGGAATTGCTGAGTTTTCCTAGAAGCAAACCAGGCAGGTTGGGAATCTGAGATATTGGGGAAGAGGTTGGGGAGGGGTGTTCAGCATCAGAGCGAAAGAAAGTCCAGATTTTTGCTGACCACATCAGGGAGAGAAGGCCGAGGGCCATTTCCACGTTGTTCAAATGTAGTGCATCTTTGTTGAAACTTTGAGGAATATACTATTCCATGACATTAAAAAGGAAGACAGAGTGAGAGTGAGAAAGAAACAGGAGGGAGGAAGGGAGGGAGGGAGGGAGGGAGGGAGGGAGGGAGGGAGGGAGGGAGGGAGGAAGGAAGGAAGGAAGGAAGGAAGGAAGGAAGGAAGGAAGGAAGGAAGGAAGGAAAGGACTTTCTCTGGTTAGTGTTCAAAACACACCTAATTGCCTCAAGGAAGGGAGGGGGGAGGGAAGGAAGAAAGAGCTTTCTCTGGTTAGTGTTCAAAACACACCTAATTGCCTCATGTTTTTGTCATAAACTGACTTAGCCAGTGTGAAAAGCAGCCTCAGTATCTGAAAGCCGCATTTCTCAGGAAGTTGGGAGGCATCTGAGACAATGCATCTAGTCTCTTCTCTCACCCCCTGAACACAGAGAGTCTTTACTGCCATGCTCCAAATTCTACAGCAAACCATATTCTGAATTCCCATTCTAATACAGTCCTCAACAATCCCAGCAACACAGCTTGCCTTTTGGGAAACAATTTTTAAAAAATCATTTGTGCAGCCCCAGTGCCTGGCTGCATAAATGCCTTGCAAAATGTGCTTACGCCAGTGTAGACAGAACCACACAGCAAGGCGACTAATCCACTTGCTTGGACTATTTTTTTTTTTTTCCCAGATCTTCTGGCAGTGTCTGGGTTTAGGGCCTGGGCCAAGTGGAAACTGATAACAAAAGGGACCAGGAGGAGCTACTAACCCGAAATCCGCTTTTTCCTGCAGTAGATCAAGGCCACTACAGTAGCAACAATGGCCGCTACAGCAATCCCAGCCATCACGGCCACAGTGATCCCCATCCACGAAGAGCTGCTCACTCTGGGCACTAGGGAAGACAGGATGGGCAGCGCTCTCCTTGTCCCATTTCCCCCCTCCTCCAGTGCTATGTCCCAGTGCTTGTCACCCAGAGCTCTTCTGTGTCTGAGTCACTCACCAATGCAAGACTCACCACATCCCGAGCTGCACCTGCACAGGGTTTCTGTGGCTGGACTTGTGCCTCCTCCCTACCCAGGTTTCTCCACCAAACTAATAAAAGGGCATTGGTGAGCATGTAGGAGCAGAGAGAAGAGCTCCCCTTAGCCCTCTGGGGCAGTGGGGAGGGTGGCCCCATAGCCTCCCATAGCTGGAGGCATCATTACTCTGTGGAGCACAGCCTCGAACAGTCCACAACATTCCAGGCCTTCTGGAGTGAATGGCTATACCATGAGTTATGAGAAGAAACGAGGTGAAATTCAGCTCTTAAGAATGCCCAGGAGCTTAGGGAACCTCCGCATCAATGAGGGAACTCTGCTTCAAATGCCATCTTTAGTCTGGGGCCTGCATTTCAAAGTGGAACAGCCTGGCCACCTATCACTGGGAGCTGAGGGCTCCAAGCTCCTACCCCTACTCCTGGCCAATACTTAGCCAGGCTTCCCCACATCCCTTCTTTGCTCCAGCACCCAGTTTTGCTGCTGGGGCCTTTCTCAGATCTCCATGTAGGCCCATGTGACCTTAGCCCTTGTCTATCCCCTCCTCTCTCTCCCTTCATCTTGGCAGACTCCCCATACCTTGGACAGTGATGGTCACAGGCTTGGAAGAGTGCAGCGTGTGGCCTATGCTTCCTGCACAGTGGTAATCACCACTGTGACTATGGTTTGCTTGTGGGATGGCGAAGCTTGTGTTCAAACGGGAAAATTTCTTGGATTTTCCATTCTGGAAGAATGTAACTTTGACCAGAGGCTTGTCTTTCCAGCTGTGGCACCTCAGCATGATGGTTTCTCCCTCTTGGAACTCCAACCTAGGGGTCTGGATCGCCAACCACTCTGAAATACACAAATATGAGAAGAAAAAGTTGTAAGGCTAGATTCCAAGGGTTTTTCCGTCTCATTCTCAGAGGTACATTACTCACAGAACTTGACATGTTGTCTGGCAGAGAGAAATGAAGATGCTTCATGACAGATGAGAGCATTCTCTTATAGGCAATATATGGTATTTATATCTATGGGTCCTCTAAAAAACAGAAGTTTTCAGAAGTTTCAAAGATGTAGAACAGATATTTAAAACAGTCCTGAGGAATTTAAAATACCATGTTTGAGCAGAGAAATGAGTGCATTTCAGTAACTATAGAGGTTTTGCAACAGGACCTGAAGCCATCAGTTTTGTGGTCTGGGGATTACTAATTTAATTGCAAATTTTGTACAAGCTTTGGGAAGTGAGGGTGAGCAGCCACCAACTGTATTTGCAATAAAATAAAGCCTTTTTTCCCTCTTTTTTCCACATGTTGTTGCTGGTTTTAAAAAAAATAGACCCTTAATCATACCTCCCCTACCGTGTCTTAGTCTCTCTTAGGCTGCTATAACAAAATACTATATACTGGGTGGTTTATAAACAACAGAAATTTATTTCACCCTGTTCTGGAGGCTGAGAAGTCCAAGGTGCTTGCAGCTTCTTTGTCTGGTAAGAGCCTACTTCGTGGTTCACAGAACTGAGGCTTCTTGCTGTGTCTTCACATGGTAGAAAAGACCTCTGAGCTCCCTTGGCCCTCTTTTATAAAGGCACTAATCACATTCACAAGGGCTCTGCCTCATGACCTAATCACCCACCCAAAGACCTCACCTCCTAATATCATCATCCTCGGGGTTGCTGTTTGATTAATTCACATCATATGAATTTTGGGAGCACAGAAATGTTCAGACCATACCACACTCTCAATCTTCCATCCACATAAGAAATGAAAAGGTATGACTTTTGAATTCACACAGGTGAATTCAACATTCAGTTGTGACTCTGAATAAAGGGAATTCAAAAAAAAATTTTAACTTAAAATCACTTTTTCCTTTTTGCCTACAAACATCCTCACTCCCAATAATTCCTTCCCTTCATTGATGGCAGAGTAATCAGATTCCAAAATTCAGCCACCTCAGAAGACAAATCTATTAACAAAGTTTCAATAAACTTAATAGAGAAGAAAATCAAATTGTTCTAACATAGAAATACATATAATTTATTCTATCTTATTTAAATAAAAATATATTTAAGAAAATAGTATTCTATATATGAAAGGCCAGGTACCGTTATTGAGATGGCATGAAAGAGAAACTAAAGCAAGGACTGGGATTTTGGCTTTGCTCTTGGGTCTAATCAGCTTCATTTCTTTGTACAATGGATGGGTGGGACTAGGTAGTTTCTCTGTAACAACCATTCAAATCTCTTTTTTTTTTTTTTTTTTTTTTTTGAGACAGAGTTTTGCTTTTTCGCCCAGGCTGGAGTGCAATGGTGCGATCTTGGCTCACTGCAACCTCTGCCTCCTGGGTTCAAGCGATTCTCCTGCCTCAGCCTCCTGAGTAGCTGGGATTAGAGGCATATGCCACCACACCAGGATAATTTTGTATTTTTAGTAGAGACAAGATTTCTCCATGTGGGGTCAGGCTGGTCTTGAACTCCTGACCTCAGGTGATCTGCCCACCTCAGCCTCCCAAAGTGCTGGAATTACAGGCGTGAGCCACCTCACCCAGCCCTCAGTTTTTATTATCTATATTTTTACATTTTCGTAGGAAGGGTTAGAACTACTATCAGCTGTTTCTGGAAAGCCAATACGAGACGAACTATGATGTCATGGGCAGCTTTTGAAGTTGACTTAAGCTGGGGTTTATGCACCAAGAGTGCAGCTTAAGTAAAAACAGTAGAAATAGGCTTATATTTTCAGACATTGGAAGCAGGTAGAAACAGTATCTAAGCCAGGCTTGGTGGCTCACGCCTGTAATCCCAACACTTTGAGAGGCTGAGGAGGGAAGATCACTTGAAGCCAGGAGCTCAAGACCAGCCTAGGCAACATAGTGAGACCCTGTCTCTATAAAAAGAAATAAAAATAATTAGCTGGGTATGGTTGGTGGTGTGCAACTGAAGTCCCAACTACTTGAGGGAAAAGAAAGATAGAATATTATCTTCTAGGAGCATTTTCTCTACAGTCTTTTTAACTGAACACTGTCAAATATTGGCATAAACCTAAATCAGAATGTATGACTCCTTTAATTAAAGCCGTCTCAACTTACTCAGGAATAAAAGTCAGAATAATTGCAACAGCCTACCAGCCTCTGCTTGACCTACCCTTACCCTCCCCTCACCTCTGACTTCATCTTCCAGGCTGAATTCTGCACTCCCTCCTCCTTACACCTGTCTGGCTGCCTTCTGCCTTAGGGCCTTTACAGGTCTATTCCCTCCAACCTCTCTGCTTTACCACACAGCCTCAGGCGAAAGATAAGTTTTTTAAAGTAGGGATTTCCTTCTGCTTCTCTCACACTCAGCTGTCTGTGGCCTTGTAACCCTCTTGCTCAATCAAGACTGAGGCAAAAACAACCTAACATATACTGAGGAAATTACTAACAATTCCTCCCTCCCCCACCACACATGCTAAGCAAGGTGGGTGGGTGAAATGGGGAATGAATGAGATCAACAGTGCTTCCCAGTAAGCAAGCTACCCCCCTTTCCTGTAAACCTCTGCCTGTAAACAGATTTCATCCATCTTGTCCCTCCCGGGTCCACCCAAGGGCCTTCCTCCACTGACCGGAAAGCACAGTCAGATTCACGGGGTCACTGAGGCTGGACCGGCTGGTCTGGCACCTGTATACCCCGCTGTCGTTGTTGTTGGTCTTGAAGGTGTAGCTGGGCTGCATTTGGGTGGGGATGAGATTCCCATTGTGGAACCACTGAGTGGAGTCGCTCTCAGGGCTATGAGCCCCCTGGCACGTCAGAGTCACCGAGTCCTCCTGGAGCACGTTGATCCAGGGGGGCTCGAGCTTCAGAACAGCCTTTGGGGGAGCTGCTGAGAGGGAGAGAGTGGAAAGGGATGTGAATAAATAACCCTGAAGGTACTGTGGATGCCAAAGGAACTCCCAAGGGAGTTCAGGCACCAAAGAATCCTATCGTAGACTCAGTTCAAGATCTGCACTTGCAGCAGCCTCATTCCCCTGGGTCTTCAGTGGATCCAAGAAGCAAATCCCGGACCCCACTAAAATAAGGGAACTGCCCATGCTGAACCCAAGCCTGATTCTCTGTGGCCCGGGCATATCCCCCCAGAGTAAACACAGCATCATATTATGAGGAAATAACACTGTCAATACAAGGAAGCAAAGAGCATACTCACCAGCTTGACTGTCAGCAGAAGCTGTAAAAAAGAAGGCAGTGAGTCAACACTGAGCAGAAGATGGCTGCAAATTTAGCGGCATATGTAAATGCGGCCTGGGAGGTGAGCTTAGGCTCCTCCTTCTCCAGAACCCATCTCAAGATCCTGTTTCCAGTTATTCTCTTATACGAGTATTCACTTCACATGTCCCCCTTATCTCATTCCCTGTCCCTCCTCATGGCTACACAGTCCACATGAATGTTTGGTGCAGGATGGACTTCCCAGGTACTACAAAACTAGCTCTTGAGTTCTGACCTTAGGAACCATTGGAACACTTAAGAATTCAGGGTCCTGGGCCGGGCGCGGTGGCTCAGGCCTGTAATCCCAGCACTTTGGGAGGCCGAGGCGAGTGGATCACGAGGTCAAGAGATCGAGACCATCCTGCTCAACATGGAGAAACCCCGTCTCTACTAAAAATACAAAAAAAAATTAGCTGGGCATGGTGGCGCATGCCTGTAATCCCAGCTACTCAGGAGGCTGAGGCAGGAGAATTGCCTGAACCCAGGAGGCGGAGGTTGCGGTGAGCCGAGATTGCGCCATTGCACTCCAGCCTGGATAACAAGAGCAAAACTCCATCTTAAAAAAAAAAAGAATTCAGGTCCTCTTCTTTCAATCTATTATCTGCTTCCAGGGCTCAGGCCTGCTCCTTACCACACTGGTGCCTGGAGTCCTGGCAGTAGGAGTGGCTGAAATTGCCCTATTTCAGAATGACCCTCACTCACCCAGCAGCAGCAAAACTGTCAGTAGTTGAAGCAGCCACAGGTTGCCAGGACATACATTCTGAGACATTTGGGTCTCCATAGTCATCCCACACTGTGCCAAAGTCTAGTGGGGTTTAAGAGACAAGCTTAGAAAAGAGGAAGGAAATGGTTTCATCTTCTTGTGCAACTGTCATCAGTCCTCAATTCTGTTTCTGCTAACCAATCAGGAGCAATTCCAGGTAGGAGTTGAGTCAGCTTTACAGATAAATGTATTATGTACCCCCTTGCGTCCTTGTGAAAACTCTGGGAAGGGGTTACTGTTGTGCTGGCTGGTATACTCCTTGTTAGAGTATTCTTTTTTGTTTAAGGTAATTCCTGGTCAAAATCTCATCCAAAAGGCATTAGAGCAGTTTGCTCCTAAGAAGAGCCAAAAATGACCGGCAATGCAGCCTGCTGGAGAAGTGAGTACCAGAGCCTGGGAAGAAGATAATGTCCAGCTATTTTTACCCAAAGTAGAAAATTACCTTGTTGGCCAGGCACAGTGGCTGAGACCTCTAATCCTAGCACTTTGGGAGGCCAAGGTAGGAGGATCGCCTGAGGTCAGGAGTTCGAGGCTAGCCTGACCAATGTGGTGAAACCCCATCTCTATTAAAAATACAAAAATTAGCTGGGCGTGGTGGTGGACACCTGTAATCCCAACTACTCAGGAGACTGAGGCAGGAGAATCAACTGAACCTGGGAGGCGGAGGTTGCAGTGAGCCAAGATCGTGCCATTGCACTCCAGCCTGGGCGACACAGTGAGACCTCGTCTCAAAACAAAAAAGAAAAAGAAAATTATCTTGTTTTTCACAATAGTTTCTCCTACTGAAATTCTCTTTCCTTGAAGCTGAAACCTTTTCTCCCCCAGAAAATGTAAGTGGTTTTCCCTCTCTGTTTTCCATTACAGAAATTGTGAGGAACTGCCCATGCAGAGCAGTTGATTTGCACACACATTTATATATTTCAGAAATGGAACACAAATAATGGGGTTATAAATTGGCGAACATTTCTGAAGGGGATTTAGGCACTATTTATTAAAAATTTGAAATTAATTCAATTTCAAAAAATATGTCCAAAAGAAACACTTAAATGTGAAAAAAAATCAACAAGAGTATTCATTGCAGTATTGTAATATATAAGGAGAAATGTCAAGATTAGAAGATAATAGAGACAGCTCAAGACCTTCCTGGGTAACAGAGTGAGATCTCATCTCTGTAAAATTAATAAAAAATAAAATGGGGATTTTATTAAATAAATAAAATGTATTATTTTAATAAATTTAATAAAATAAAATAGCAACTGCCTTATAGAGTTGTTTTGAAGGTTAAATCATGTCAGGTAAATTAATTGTATAAAGTACTTACAATAGACACTAACAAAAATATCAGAAATGTGATATTTTCGGATAGTTTAAATAATTTAATTACTATGTTTATGCTACTCTTTTATGGATGGGCCTGTGAGAAGACAGTGATACCCCTGTATTTAGATGGTGATAGTTTACCTGAAAAGTGTGGTCATTCCCAGTGTCTAAGGAAGAATGTTTCCCAGAGCAGAGATTCCCAGGGGAATACCCACACACTGAACATGAAATGCACACTTCATTACTACACAGGCAAAAGAACGTTATGCTCACATATGCAGTTGCAATGGAAGCAGAAAATTGTTCTCAGGTCATCTATACTCTGCTCACCCAAGAGATATACTATACCCCACCTCAGTGCAGCTGTAAAATTTCAGGACAATGATTTTGTACCTAAGGCAGCCTTTAAAATACACAAATATGTTTAAACTTTTCCTAAAACTTTTTTGTTTTGCTTTTTTGTTGTTATTGTTTTGAGAATGAGGTCTCACTATATTGCCCAGGCAGGTCTTGAACTCCTGGACTTAAACTATCCTCCCGCCTCTGCCTCCTTAAGAGCTGGAGTTAGAGGCATGAGCCACAGAGTCCAGCACTTTTCCTAGAACTTTTCTCAGCACTTTATAGCAGTATATCCTGCCCGATCACCAAGACCACATCCTGAGTGACTCCCGGGGACTCTCTATGGCAGGGACTTAAACCTTCTGGGTAGTCAGATAAAGCTATTCTCAGCAGGGAGAAATTTCCTAGAAATAAGCCACAAATAATTGTAGATTCTTCAGACTTTTCATAATACTTTGTATTCCTCATTCCTAAGTAACTATTGTATTCTCTATGATTTTTATATTTTTTTATAATTTCTTTAATTTGTTTGTTTTTTATTGTTATTTAGTAAAATCTCTTGAGAGTCCCAGCCTGTTCTTGGGAAATCAAGAGAAGGGATTTTTGTCCACTCTTTGGCCAGAACGTTGAAAGAGAATTGGCATAGTCCGAAGAGACCTATTATGGAAGGGTCAGTGGTTATTAAATAAGATTCTAGAGGGAAACTGTGATGTGGGACCTAATCAAAGCCTCTAGGTCAACCACCCCCTCCCACTGCACAGCAAAGCATGAGGTGCACTGTGCTGTTAGAGTGTGGAAGTAGGCATCTCCTTTCACCTAGACAGTGCCGTAGCACTCACATTCCCAGGGCATCTACATCTATCTCTGGCTCATGTTCTCAACAGACAGGTTGCCTCTTCATGTTGTTTCATTAACAAAATCTCCTCTTTGAGATGAATGGGATGCTGGCACCCACACAGAATCAATAATGTCAAGCCAGCTCAAAAAGGGCTACTCCTGCTTCTTTGTTTGTAGGATTTCCTTCCTTAGTTGAGTTCTAGTTTGACCCCAAAGGGGAGGGAGTCTACATTGAGGATTTATTAAGTTATTTTTCAGATTGAATCCAGCTGAGGGAGAAAGACTGGCCCATCAGAGGGATGTACCACGGAAGCAGAGCTAAAGAGATGCTGCAGAGTAACGAAGAGGAAACACAGCCTGTAATCAGCTTAAGTGGAAATAAATGGCAAATTGTGGAAACGTGGTACTTTATGCACATTCCCTCCTCTGCTCCCAGGTGGTGGCTGTAGGTATTAAGAGAGACAAGGCAAGTCAAAGCTACAAACTCTCTGCTCATAAGTAAGAAATAAATGATAATTCGGGGTCACCCCAAAGACAATGTCATTAGAGGATATTGTGTTTAAGGCCTTGAGAACTGAGGGGCAATCTAAAATTAGAAATAATACTGTTTCAGCTTCCCAGAATATCAGAAATGCCACTTTTTTAGTACTAAAGTAGATAGGAAACTATTCACTACTACACAACAAAGAACGCAGGAGAATCAGGATTTAAGACACAGAGAAATTTGATATTAAGAAGTTCTGGCAAATTCAACCTGCTTGGACTTCTGAGCAGTCAGTAGCTTCTTCCAAAACTTCATTTCCAGCTTTGCCTTCCCCCTTACTCTACTTTTGCCTCTCTATATTAATACTTTCCTCTCCCACATCAGCATCCGAACCTGGACATGACCCCTAGTTCTTGGCTTGTTGCTACTCACAGTGTGCTGTGAGTGCATCATAGTCTAACCACACTGCAGGTAGAGACAGGACAGAAACTGGAGTTCAGACTAGAAGAATGGAAGAAAAAGGCATTTTGAGGAAGAAATAAAAGGAAACCCACTAAAAAGTTAAATGGCATATCAAAAGCCAATAGATAGATGGATATTTTTCCCCTTCTAGGGAAAATTGGGAAAGGGTATATTTTTCTAGAGAAAAATGTGCGTGTGTGTATGTGTGTGCATGTGTGTATGTGTATGTATCTGTGTGTGTGTGTGTGTGTGTGTGTGTGTGTGTGTGTGTGTATAAATTTGACCTAGCAGAGTACCAAGACTCTTCTCATTTACTATAAGGGCCCAAGATTTTATTTTTATTTTTATTTATTTGTTTTTTTGTCTGTTTGTTTTTGCTATTGGGAAAGGAAGGCAATAGAATTTACAAAGAACCTCAGAAGATTAGTTGTTTTTGTAGGCTTCATAGGCTTTGTAAAGGAACAGTTTTTTGTTTTGTAGGCTTTGTAAAGGAACAGTTCTTGAGAGAAGAAATATGTCCTTGAGTTTAATATTTAAATGTATGATAGACAGAAGAGGAGTTCACTCCAAGAAGGTTCAGGGCCCTCCTGTACACGCATCTCCTGGTGACTTGTTCTGTTATTTCAGGTTACTGGACAGAACCGTAGCAATTCCTTTGTAGGAGAAAATCCTACCAGGCTTGGATTTTTAACAGTCCTGCTGTAAGATTTCCTAACCACTTACCCCAACACGTTTTCCAGAACTTATATAAATTCCATTCAGCATCCAGATCTCAGGAGCATTATTCCCGTGGTGTTGAAGAGGGTTTCAAGCCTAGTGGGAAAGGTCTACAAGAGTTTTAGGCTTATGATAACCTGTGAACAAGGTCAGGAATAAAAACAGTATGGCTTACAAAAGCAAAGACATAAAGTCTTCCCCCATCTCTGGAAGAAGTTCATATATAGCAAACTCCCTGAGGCAGGAGGGTTGAAATGTGTCTTGAAATGAGCACAACAGCCAATGGAAAAGAATATCTCCTTCCATTATTATATTGGGCATTGTTATTTTTCGTATAATCAGACATGCCTCTGACCCATTAGAATGACAAAGTGCAAACAGAGCCTCAGAGGGGTGTCCTCAGGTATAACTGTGAGAATTGCCTGGGAAACAGCCTCAGAGCTCCCAGGCCGCAGATTTTCATTCATTCAGCAATTATCTATTGGGTGCTTACCAGGTACTAGACTGTTCTAGATGCCTCAGATACATTTGTAAATAAAACAGATGAAAATCCCTACATTCAGAGAGCTTCCATTCTATTGGAAAGAGACATAAAGGAAACAATAAACACATTAAATAAGCAACGTATACAATATACAAAATTATACAAAGTATGAGAGGAAAAAAAGCAGGGGAAGGGGATTTGAAGTGGAAGTGGATTGCAATTTTAAATAGGTAGCAGTTGAGCAAAGATTTGAAAGATGACGGGAACTGAGCTTGAGGCTATCTAGCGCAAGAACATTTCTAGCAGACGGAACAATCAGGCAAGGAACTGAAACTGCTTTATGCCTGGAACGTTCCAGGAGTTGTTTGGAGTGAAACTGAGGGAGGGAGCGAGCAGTAGGAAATGAGGTCAGAGAGGAAAAAAACACAAGACCTCATAAGCATCATGAGATTGTTCACTGACACGAATGAAATGGGGAACTTTTGGGAGATTTTGAGCATAGGAGTGACATGATCTGACATGTTTTTAAAGCACCATTCTGATTGCTGTCTTGAGAAAAGACTGTAACAGGGCAAGGGCAGAAGCAGTGAGACAAGTAGGTCACTGTTGCAGTCAGCCAGACATGACAAGATGGAGGCTAGTACTAGGGTAGTAGTTCAGACATGGTAGGAAGTCTAAATCCTATGTATATTTTAAGACAGAACAACCAGGCACAGTGGCTCACGCCTATAATCCCAGCACTTTGGAAAGCCAAGGTGGAAGCATTGCTTGAGCCCTGGAGTTTGAGGCCAGCCTGGGCAACATAGCAAGACCTTGTCTCTACAAAAAAAATAAAAAATATTAGCCACCAATGGTGGGACTACTTCTGTAGTCCCAGCTACTCAGGAAGCTGAGGCCAGAGGATTGCTTGAGCCTGGGGTGTCAAGGCTGCAGTGAGCTCAGGGGGGTGTGCAGTGCAGTGCAGTGATCATACCACTGCACTCCATCCTGGGCGACAGAGCAAGACTCTGTCTCAAAAAATAAAATAAAAATGAAAATAAAAAATAAAATGAAGATAAAACCACCAGAATTTCCTGATAGATTAAATATGGGAAGGGAATAAGTCCAAGACCTTTCATCTAAATGTCTCAGGTGTTTATTGCACCGTAAAAAACCACCCCAAAACTTAATGGCTTAAAACAACCAATTTCTTATTATCTCTTATGCTTCTTCTGTAGGTTGACTGGGCTCAGTTGGGCATTCTTGTTTGGGGTCTTTTATGCTGCTGCAGTCAGGCAGTGGCAGAGTCTTACGCAGAATTTAATGCAGGAGATGACCTGGGAGAATAATTTTTGTGTTGATTGGCATAAACATGGGTAAAGGATATCATGATATATTCAAGACGAGTAATGCCAGCAAAGCTATGAGAGTTGGCATGTAGAGGACAGTGGTAATCTGGGGCTCCCTCTTGATCCCTGTTAACAAAAGGCTGGTTGTAAGTCCTGGGTTAATTCTGTGTGTTTACTCCTGCCAATGGAGTTGAGGTTGCCTAGAGAAGCAAGCATTCATTACTCCAAATATATGGCCTTTCTTGACCCTAATTGAGTGAGTTAGGGTACAAGTCCTGGGTAATCTAATTACTAATTAGAAGGGTTCATGGATCCCTACAATTACTAATTCCCCAAAGAGGCCAAGGTTGGTCTTGGCCTCTTTGGGGAATTAGTAATTGTAGGGATCCATGAGCCCCACATGTTGGGTACCAGAATGTAGGGAACCAGCCCTACATCACCCGTGGGTACCTGAGTTCAGTGGGACAAAGGAATGAGAAAAGACAGATTAAGAGAGATAGTGGGACCAGGGGGCCATCACTCATTACTTTGGAGGAGACAGTGAAAGCCCTGAGCTGTGATCATCCACACTATTTACTGATTACAATCACTTTGATCTACAGGGTAGGGGTGGAGTGATGGTTGAGTGAATCAGTGAGCCGGAACTGGTGTGTCATTTTAAGAATTGATAACAGTGGCAGTTTGGGAGTTTTACAAGACAAGAACATGTGGTTATCTTTAACTTATTATCTATGTACAGCTGGTGGAACACGGACCTTACAAGGAGCCTACAAGTCTGGCAACGTCATGGTGCTACGAAGGGGTTTTATGTCCTTGGGCACAATGTTTATGGTAACAGAGCCAAGGTCACCCCGCACCAGGACATGAGGCATGAAGAAGCCTTCCTCCTCTGAGGCCTCCTGCGGCCCTCTGCAATTGGTTGTTCCTGGTTTATGTGTTACTCATAACAATTTATGTAGGGACTCTGTAAGTCCTTTCTCCTTTTCTGCTTTTCCCAACAAGTAAATTTGTACATTGTCTTCCTCTAGAACTTCGCTGTCCAATATGATGGGAGTCACCAGCCACATATGGCTATTGAAGTGTCATTAGTCCAAACCGAAATGTGCTGTAAGCATAAAATATACATTGGCTTTTGAAGACTTAGTATTAAAAAATGAATACTAAATATCTCATTAATATTTTATACCAATTACATGTTAAAATATTATTTTGAACATATTGGTTACATAAAATATTAATAAAATTACTCTCTTGGTTCTTTTTACTCTTTTTAATGTGGCTACTAGAAAATTTTAAAATATATGTGTGATTTATGTGATATATGTATTGGACAGAGCTGCTCTTATACCCTTGATGGGATATAGGACATCTGGAAACTCACGTGTGAGATCCTTCCAAACCCTTCTTAGAAGCATTGCACTCCTTCCCCACATGGTCAGAGTTTCATGATCTCATCTCTCTTAGAGTCAGAACCCTCAGGCTTCTGAGAGTTCCAAGCTTGAATGCCTTTGCCCCTGCTCCCAGATTTTTTGTAGGTAGAGGTTTGCAAACAAAATTCCTTTATTTTGCTGTAACCTGGTCACTCTCACACGTATAACAGGTTGCTCAACACCCTCTTAAAAATCTCTTCATCCCAAAAGGTTAAAATCTCTTTGTAATCTATTTTTGGATTATTTCATTAGTATAACCTCAATTGTTTGTTTAGTATTACCACAATCTGTCTTAACAGCTACAGTTCTCCTTTATCATCATGAAATTGTTTCTGCTACAGTTTGGCTCCGAGGGGTTCAAACTGACATTACCTAAATAAGCACCAGAACATTCCTCTTCTCCCTGGATGCAAGAGTGCTGAAGTGCCGCATCTTGTTTCAAAAATTTGAATTTATGATAGATTTTACAATAGGTTTATGCATTGCCAAAAACAAGGAAAGAAAAATGTGGAGGATGACATCTGATGACAGCTAATTCCAGCTGCCAACACTAGAATTTAAGGGCAGAAGTTTTATTTGTAAATCACAGGAATACAACATTGAAATCCAACTCCTTCATTTTACCAATGAGGAAACCATGACTCAGACAAAAATTGTGAGTTGACCCAAGGCAGACCTCTCCCATGCTACTGTACCTCATTGTCTCCATTCACTCATCTGCACTGCCTACTCAAGACATATTTTATTATGTCCATGTATCTAATTGTCTCTGTTGTTAGTTTTTCCATAATTCAAGAGTAAGATCTTCAGAATGAATGTTTCTCTAGAGCAGAATTTCTAATAGATTCATAATACTTTTTTGCTGAATTGGGTAAATGGGCACAAGAAGACAAGAATACTCACATTTGTTGAGCATCAGACTTTATTATAAATATTTATTTTTCTGTGTAACATCAGCTATCTATCTAATATCAGCTTCTCTAAAGTGATATTTGGGGGTAAATTTCCCCCAAAGATTAGGTTTTTTATATTGCTTCATTAGAAGATAGGAGGAGAAAGTTCTTGCAGGCCAGAACTTTACTTAAAGAGCACACAGTGGCTGGGTGTGGTGGCTCACACCTGTAATCCCAGCACTTTGGGAGGTTGAGGCAAGCAGATCACAAGGTCAGGAGATCGTGACTATCCCGGCTAACACAATGAAATCCCGTCTCTACCAAAAATGTAAAAAATTAGCCAGGTGTGGTGGCGGGCACCTACAGTCCCAGCTACTTGGGAGACTGAGGAAGGAGAATAGCTTGAACCTAGGAGGCGGAGGTTGCAGTGAGCCAAGATTGCACCACTGCACTCCAGCCTTGGGCAACAGAGCAAGACTGGATTCCCACCCTGAGCCCCCCCCAAAAAAAAAACACACAGCATCTTCATCAACTTCTAAATAAATCAACAATTTAGTCCCCAAAGTTTAACACCGTTGCATACAATCAAGATGACATTTGCCTAGAAAATTGTCAAAGCAGTTGGTACTAAAATGTTCATCATGGCCCAGAGAACAATGTTTATGTTCCCATTGATTGACTGATTTTTGAACAATACAGATCGTGTTTAGTTCTCCACCCCTAGTATCAAAATCAAGCAGGTCAGCCCAATTGATATGGTTCTATGGGGTCATGGATGGATGGCTATTGGTATGTTGATAGCAAAACTATCTATGGCAAAAAATTAAAAATAAACTTAAAAAACCATAGCTTTCTAAAAGTATTTTAAAAATCTCTATGGCTGAAGGTGCATAAATTTTAAGTACAAACAAAGAATTGTGTTCAGAAGGGAGTATCAGGTGTCAAAGCCAGATCATTTTTCAAAACAGATAATTAAGAAATCCTAAGAGTTTGAGAGTTGGATTATAGATGAGTGGAAGAGTATCGAGGGAAATAACAAAGCCAATACCAGTTGCTGTTTGCTGATTATAGACTGACTTTCTATATTAACTAGAGTTGTGAAGTAGATAGGCATCCCCACATAAAGCAGAAATCACTTCCTGTTAAACCTGACAGGATAAATGTGTTGCTAAATCCACCTCTAGACCAGTGCTGTCCAACAGAGATATGAGAAATTCAATTTTGCATTTTTAAAATTGATTTTAATAATATATTTTATTTAACCCAATGTAATAGTGTTCTAGAGCTGCCATAACAAAGTACCAAAAACCAGGTGGCTTAAACCACAGAAATGTATTGTCTCCCAGTTCTGGAGGCCAAAGGTCCCAGATCAAGGTGTCAGGAGGGTGAAGGCACTAGGGAAAGCTCTGTTCCAGGCCACCTCCCTGGGTTCTGCTAGTTGCTTAGCATATGGCAGCAGAGCTCCAACTTTTCATGGTGTTCTCTTTGTCTATATGTCTGTCTTTCTATCCAAATTTCCCTTGTTAAATTAGGATGCAAGTCATATTAGATAGGGGCTTGCTCTACTCCAGTTTGACCTAATCTCAACTGTGTAGAAAGCAGAGATCCCATTTCTAAATAAGCACACACTTGCAGGTGCTGGGAGATAGAATATCACCATATGTACATTTTATTGTACATCAAGTACAATAAAATGAGATTTCTCATTTTACTATATGTGTAAATTAAACAAAATTTTTGAAATATAAATGAGAGTACACAACATCAATTTTTTTTTTTTTTGAAATGGAGTTTTGCTCTTGTTGCCCAGGCTGGAGTGCAATGGCGCAATCTTGGCTCACCGCAACCTTCACCTCCCAGGTTCAAGTGATTTTCCTGCCTCAGCCTCCCAAGTAGCTGGGATTGCAGGCATGCATCATCACAACTGGCTAATTTTTCATATTTTTAGTAGAGATGGGGTTTCTCCATGTTGGTCAGGCTGGTCTCAAACTTCTGACTTCAGTTAATATGCTCACCTTGGCCTCCCAAAGTGCTGGGATTATAGGCGTGAGCCACCGCACCTGGCCACAACCTCAATTTTTCCTTTTTTATTTTATTTTTTTTTTTGTAATTTTAAAAAATAAAATAGAGATGAGGTTTCACCATATTGGTCAGGCTGGTCTCGAAATCCTGACCTCATGATCCACCTGCCTCGGCCTCCCAAAGTGCTGGGATTACAGGTGTGAGCCACCGCGCCTGGCCAACCTCAATTTTTGATACACACAGCTCAGGATCTTGAACCAGTGAGACAGCCAGAGCACTTGATGGCATAAGTGTCAACCTCAGAAATCAAAGACTCTGACGGGTGGCCAAAGCAGTAGACAAAGATGCCCTCAGCAGAAATAAAAGTCACCTTTCAGTCACAAAGGTTTCGCTAGTAGAAGAATTGCCATGGCAAAGTCCTGGCCAGTTCTTTATATGTATAAGTGTCTCTCTTTGTGTATATACATCCATTGTTAGTGGGCGTGTTGTTCTTGTTGTTCTTTGTGTGAAAAACATAGAAATCCTCTCAATGAGGCATCTTGTTGGCCCTTTGCCAAAACACTCTACTTTTCTAATTCTCCTCCCTTTTTGTTCCCCTCCACTAGAGACCAGGCTGTATGCCCCATTTATGAATAGGAAAACTCAGTAACAAGGAGGAAAGTGTCTTCTGAAACCAAATTTAGCCCCAGTACTGTTCTATCAGCAGGAAAACTGCCATTCAGTCCCTAAGATCTTTTAAGACACCCATTCTTCCTCCAATTAAAATGGTACTGAAATGGTAAGGAGATTTTATGTCTGGAAGTTAACCACAATCACTGCCTAAGAATAAATGCTTTAGTCCAGGTGGCAGATTATAGAATTCAACTGAGTACATTCCCCCCATTAATGGGCCTTGCTAAATACAACTGTTATATAGTCTTTCCTGAGATCCATCTATCGGGGAGCCACACAGATCAAACAAGTCTAGGAAGTCAAAGGGAAATCACAAGTGAAGGAGTAGAGTCACATGGGTGAGTGTGACTAACTCCATCACTTGGGTCCTCTGGATCCATGGCTGCAGGTCATGCCTGAATCCATGGGTGGCACCTTTAGTGGATGCTGGGACCCAGGGAACCAAGGAGGGAAAACAGTTGGCGGCATGCCCCCATGATCTTCCTCTCTACCTTGGGCCACTCAAAAGGTAGAAGGAAACAAAGGACTCCTTTCGAGTGCATTCTGAAGCACTGAGACTCCTTTGACCCTGAAACTCTGCTTTTGCACAAGGGCAAGTCCCTCTTATTAGAACTTTTCAAGCATTGCACAATCAACTCAGTTCTTTTAGCAGTCATATCACGCAGGCCCAAAGGGAATGATTCCCCAAAACTAGAGAAGCAACTTCTGGGGAAGCATCTGAGGCAGCAATTGAGTGTACTGGCCCTTTTTATCCCCCTTATTCAGGGCACCCTCCAACGTTGCCATCAGCTCCTCTAGTTCCACCATCTCCACAACTCCCCACCCTCCCAATTATGCTCTTACCACTACAGGAAATGCCCAACAAAGGTGATGCCATCTTAGGGTTTAAGTTCCTTTCTCATTGCATGACTTTAGGCAAATAAAGAGAGACAGGCTGATTTTCTGATGACCCTGATAGGTATATAGATGCTTTCCAAAATTTAAACCCAGTGTTTGACCTCACATGAAGGGACATTACACTGCTCTTAAGCCAAACCCTAACCACAGCTGAAAAACAGTCAGCTCTACAGACAGCAGAGAAGTTTGGAGATGAGCAGTATGTCTCCTATAGTAGGCCAAAAAGGAAAAGAGAAAATAGGGAAGGCAAAGAAATAAGGGAATTATCACTCCCAATAGGAAGAGAGGTGGTACCTGTTGACAACCCCGAATGGAACTCCAATGACTCCAAATATGAATGGAAAAGGCAACACTTTTTAATGTGCATACTGGAGGGCCTACAAAGAACTAGGGCCAAACCTCTTAATTAAACTGTTCATGATGTGAGCCTTTATGGAAAGGCTGAGAGATGTGCTAATAAAACACACCTCCTTATCGCCTGATTCAGTCAAGGGACAGCTCATCCTAAAGAACAAGTTTATGACACAGGCAGCTCCCGATATTAGAAGGAAACTGCAGAAGCAGGCTATAGAACCAGATAGGACCTTGGAAAACCTCCTGAGGGTGGCCACCTTGGTCTTTTACAACAGGGTCCAGGAAAAGGCCCAGGAGAAGGAGAGAAAACACAAGAGAAAGACAGAGTCTCTAGCAGCTGCTTTGCAGGCTTGCAAAGTCCAGGATCCCCAAGGTGCATCCACTAGTTGTTACCAGTGTGGCAAGTCAGGGCACTTTAAGAAAGACTGTCCAGGCAAGAAGAAGCCACCTCGACCCTGTCCAACTGGTATTAGGGACCACTGGAGATTGGACTGTCCCCAGAGATGAAGGTCACTGGGGTCAGAACCAATCTCACAGATGGTCCAACAGGACTGATGGGTCCCAGAGCTCAAAACCCTGGCTTCAGAGGTTCAAACTTCCATTACCACTCAGGAGCCCCAGGTGATTCTGGAAATTGAAGAAAGGAGAGTGGACCTCCCTCTGGACACTGGATCCGGCCTCTGTCTTCTCCTTTGCAATCCAGGTCTCCCTCTTCCCATAGCACAACCATAATGGGCGTCTCAGGAAAGATTCTAACCTTTTTCTCAGCCTGTTACTTAGTTAAGGGGACCTATTATTTATGCATGTCTTCTTAATCGTGACTGTAAGTCCCACTCTTTTATTAGGTAGAGACATTTTAGCTGACATAGCAGCGAGCATCCTTATAGCCCCAGGAGAAACTCTTTGTCTCCCCCTAGTGGAAGCTAATATTAATACAGAAGCCTGGGCAACTGAAGGAAGAATAGGTCCAGGGTTAACCACTAGGCGAATCCAGATCAAAGTTAGGAATGCTACTTTTCTTAACCAGAGACAATATCTCCTAGCCAAAAGCTAGGAAAGGACTAGAAGCCATTATTAATAAGCCAAAAATGCAGGAACTCCCTAAACCCTGTAAAAGCCCCTGCAACACCCCAATATTAGAAGTACAAAAGCCCAGTAGGGAATGGAAATCAGTTCAGGACCTCTGCGTCATTAACGAGGCCATAGTCCCAATTCATCCAGTGTTGCCTAATTCCTATGCCTTGCTAACTCAAATACCTGTGAGGGAACTAAATGGTTCAGAGTCCTAGATCTAAAGGATGCCTTTTTCTCCATACCATTACATCCTAACTCTCAATACCTGTTTCCCTTTGAAGATCCCTCTGGCCAAACCACTCAGTTAACATGATGGTACTGCCTCAGGAACTCCAAAACAGTCTTCACTTGTTTGGAAAGGCACTATCAAAAGACTTCTCTGAGTTTTCTCATTCTTGGGTCAGTATCTTGCAATATGTAGATGACATCATACACTGTGCCCCAACTGAAAAAGCTTCTCAGGAAGACACAGAAGCTCTTCTTCGTTTCCTAGCTGACAAAAGATATGAGGTTTCAAAATCCAAGTCCCAGCCCTGCCAAACTTCAGTAAAGCACCTGAATTTACTGTTGTCTGAAGGGACCAGAGCATTAGGGATAAAAAAGGATAGAGCCCATTTCCTACTTACCCTTCTTAAGACCCTCAAGCAACTAAGAGAATTTTGAGACATTACAGGATTTTGCGACTATGGATATGATGAGACAGTTCACCCCTGATAACACATCAGAAAAGAAACTCAGGTGGCTAAAACTCATTTCCTAACCTGGGAACTTGAAGCTCAAAAGGCCATTAAACCAGCTAAAACAAGACTTACTTAAGGCACCAGCCCTAAGCCTTTCCACAGGGAGGGCCCTCAAAACTTACATATTAGAAAGAAAAGGAATGGCACTGGGAATTTTAACTCAAACCTGAAGACCAGCTCAGCAACAAGTTGGCTATCTGAGTAAGGAACTTGATTGGGTAGCTAAAGGATGGCCAGCATGCCTCCGGGGAATTGCAGCAGTGGTCTTCCTGGTAACAGAAGTTACCAAACCCTGGGAAATGGCACACTCTCTGTATACCTTCACATAATGTAGCAGAATTGCTTTCCTCTAGGGGAAACCTTTGGCTGCAAGACAGTCGCTCTCTCAATATCAGACTCCGCTGTAAAAAGGGTCTACAATCCAAATCAAAACTTGCTGAAAATAAACCCAGTTACTATCCATCCTGAGGAAACTTGGTAGAGACCTGTAAGCTGTATTCAGGATGCACATTCACGTCTCAGGCACGTGTCTGGGAATGAGATAAAAAAGAGGTCCCAGCTGCAGAAGCAAGACAGGAGCAAGGCAGGACCCTGGACACAAACGGTGGATGGGGGTTAGGTCGGGAGGAGAGTTCACTCGTGCGGTGAAGTGTAACGCCGGGAAGAATGTGACACGTGATGTGTCACTCCTACAAGTCCCACTTCCTTGTTACTGGATGGGAAACCATGCCATTATTTTCTGGAGCTGGGAAGCCAATGACGGGGAGAGACAAAGAGGTAGAAAACTGAAGAGAAAATCTGGGGCCAGTGGGCCCAAGCTTGTACTGCCTGGCGGCATTCCCTGAAGTGAAATGCGTGGGACAGTGGCGGTGGCAGGACAATGAAGAGAAGCAGGACCAGAAGGCTGCCAAAGGCTGGTTGGTGTCTGGTGTGCTCTTGGGTTTGGTGGGGGTGTTGTTACCAAGGTGAGGAAGGGCGCGGTGGCGTCATCCATTAGTCCAGAGAGGGCCCGGGGAGCAGGCAGAGGCGGATCGTGCGTGGGAGCACCGGCAGGAGACATTATACCGGACCACATCGTAAGCAGGCGGCAGAGGGGAAGGCAGCGATGCGTTGATGCTGTAGCACCAAAATGGGACGGTGCACTGCATGGGCAGGGAATTCAACCCGGGCCACCCGCGTGACAGGCGAGAAATCTACCACTGAACCACCCATGCACCGATGGAAGACTCCAAGGGAAGCTGGCACCGCCTCGATCGCCACAGGCCGCCCGTAACTGCTAACATTCTGCCGCCGGCCTCTGTCCCACTGCAGCGTCCATGAGAGGCTGCCCGGATGGGGCGAGCAGAAGGGGTGGCTCCCGACACCTCACGTCGAGGGACCAGGGGCACAACGCGTAGAGGGAGAAAGGCCGACTCGTCCCATCTTGCACTTTCTCTGCCGCCAAGGGCCAAGAGACTGCACGCAGCGGTCGCCAGGAAAAAGACCAGCCCTTCCCCGCAACCTAAGGCCCATGTGGTCAGGTGCGCTGTGGCCGGCCTTGCTGAGCGCGGATCCCCGGCCCAGACCCAACGTCTTTTTCCCATGGGGCTGGCCCTCGGCGGGGTTGGGGGTGGCGGTGTCGGCGAGAGGGGGCGGTGAAGGGGCACGGGTCTCGCAGCCAATGCGTGTGGCTCAGAAACGAAGACCAAGTCAGTGGGAGCCTCGCTTCTGCGCTCTGTACCGGCCCCCGAACCCCACACTGGTTCCTACACGGTGCGGGACCCGACGGGCCGGTAGGGAGGTCACAATGCAGCAGAGGAGCGCTTTGGCAGAGCCGCAGCTGCTGACCCGGGAGAAGGCGCGCTGGGTGTGGATGGGACGGTCCAGGTCGCGGTTTCCCACGCGGAAATGCGGTGTGGCGCAGAGCTGGTCCCGGCGGGGGCCGGTGACGGGAATCTAAAGCTTCCACCGGGATTCCTCGTGGGCCATGTTGCGGGTTTGGGCTCGCCTGCCAGGCTGTGTGCAGGATCCCTCCGCCTCTGGCCCGCAGGGGTGCGGGCTGCAGGAGGACCGCCGGCAGGTAGATGTTAGCGGTTAGGGCCCCACAAGGAAGGGAGCACAGTTAGCGCGGTGGGATCGGCGACCTGGGTAGGGTGTCCGGAGAATGGAATGGGCAGGCGGGGGCCGAGGGGTTGGAGGCAAGGACAGGATGTTGGATGGCGTGCCTCTGGTTGCGGAAGTGCGCGGGGCTCCACGAGCAAGTCGCTGCTGCTCAGCGGGCAGAAGATGGAGGGTGCAAACGGGCAGACCGTGCACTCCGGACGCCTGTGGGTAGCGCAGCGGCGATTCCAGGCGGTGGGCCGAGGGAGGTAAGCGGTGGGTGGTGGACCCTGGGCGCTGGGCGGTGGGAGGAAGGAGGGAAAAGGAGGAAGGCGAGATTATCAGGGCTGTGTCTGTTAGGGCGAGTGAGGAGAAGGCCGACGGAGGAGACAGTCAGGGAAGTGCCAGGAAGGTGTTCGCAGTCCCTTGGTGTGTTTGGGCCAGGTAAGAGGGCGCGTGAGGCGGTGGGGAGTGCGTCTGCCTGAAGGGCAATTGGTAGAGGGTCGGGAGCGCTGGCGCACAGTCCTGGGCTATTTCTGTGACTGCCGGTGGGTGGGTGGGCAGGCAGGAAGAACGGACGTGCCTGAGAAGCGGCTGTGCTTCTGAGGCTTGCTTGGAGACTGGCGTTTTGAAGCATGGGCGAGGGCTCAAGGCGGGAACCGAGGCAAGGTGGTCCGGGGTGGCGGTGGGCGTTGCCTTCCGGCGGGTGGGCGGACCAAAAGATCCGCTTGTCAGGAGTGGGATTCGAACCCACGCCTCCAGGGGAGACTGCGACCTGAACGCAGCGCCTTAGACCGCTCGGCCACCCTGACGGCGCGCCGTGGCCCGTCGCCGTTCGCGTGCCTGGGAGCCCTTGGCCGGTGCGTTCCGTGCGCAACCCACGGATCGCGCGGGCGGAGCAGGCACCGAGTGAACTCAACCGGCTGGCTCTGGCGCGGACGCCCTGGCGTCCCCACCCCGGACCCAAACCATCTGAGGGGTGCAGGCCGCCCCTGCACGCCCCCGCCCCCGCGCCTCCGCCGGCGGGACCCCCGCAGGGCACGCGCCCACCAGGTCCTAGGAGCAGCCGCCTGGCTGTTTCGCCGGCGCCTCTTCCTCCCGGCGCGATCCCTGCGTTGGAGACAGCAGACAGGGCGCACGGAGAGGTTTCACGCCACTCGGACCCGGAGCTGTCGGGGTCCCGCTCCGGATCCGGGTGGGATCGCAGGGTGCTGTGTTGGGTGTCGGGTTAGGTCGCGCCACCGGTGGCGGGTGGCGGGTGACAGGTCGCGGGCAGGCACGTGCCGGGCCCTTGCGGTCGGTCGGCGGAGGGGATCAAGGCAGGGCTCGGTGTCCGCGGTCGGAGTGGGGTCTGGCGTCCCGTTGACCGTCGCCGTCGTCCTCGTTAGTATAGTGGTGAGTATCCCCGCCTGTCACGCGGGAGACCGGGGTTCGATTCCCCGACGGGGAGGCAGCAATCCTTTTTGGGCCCCGCCTCGGACTCAGCCTGTGTGCCCAACCTATCCTCCTTCCGCCCCCCAGCTGGCCGCAAGGCGCCATCTCGGGCCTGGACTGCCTGGTCCCTTGGTCCCTGTGGCCTCCTTGGCCCCCTTGGCCTCCTGCACCTCCTGCCTTTTCTTGTCCCCGGCCGCTTGGTCGCCACAGCTTGGCGGCCTCCTCTCGCCCCCACGGCGCCCAACGAGCCGCCGGCCCAAAGTGGCTGTCGGAAGAGGCTCCCTGCCTCGGGCCCAGGGCCCGGTGGGAGACGGAGAAGTGAGGACCCTGTGGGCCCTCAGCGGCTGTGGCCCCGCCCGGCACCTGGTTTACGGCTCTGGCGGCCCCGGCCGGCGAGGGAGAGAGAGCGCCCCCAGAGGCAGGCAGGCAGGCAGCCGGTCCGACCGGAGCCGCCACGCTCCGGTGGGGCGCGGGGCAGCCTTAGGCGGCGCCGTCGCAGCGCGCAGGGCGGCGGCGGCCGGGCTGTCGGTCGGACGGACGGACGGACTGACAGAGGGACGCAGCGGCCAGCCGGGCTGCGCCGGGCTTAGGCGGCGCGCTCGCTCGCGGGAGCCCCGGGCTGACAGTGCTGTTGGTGGTATAGTGGAGAGCATAGCTGCCTTCCAAGCAGTTTACCCGGGTTCGATTCCCGGCCAATGCAGTGGCCCACCTTTTGCTAGGGTCTCAAGCGCCCGAGCCCGTCGTGTCCGGTCTTGGCCTCTGGCTGCACGCCTGTGCGCCCCGGTGGGAGAAGGAGGAGGTGGCGGTGTTTGGAAGGTGGACTGCGATCGGGACCAGAGCTGCTGGGGCAGGTGGGTTGCCGGTTGCCGCGGGGGCAGCGCTGGCGTCGCGGGGGCTGGCGGTGCGTGTTTGTTTTAAACCCAAGCAGGGAACAGGTGCCAAGGTAGTGCCCAATGATGGGGCCACAGTCTCTGGGGCCAGGAGGCATACGCTTGGACAAGTTCCCGAAGCTCCCTGGTGGTCTAGTGGTTAGGATTCGGCGCTCTCACCGCCGCGGCCCGGGTTCGATTCCCGGTCAGGGAAGTCTTTCTTCTTTGGTTCCGCCTGCCAACTGCCCGGCGCCTTCACCCCTTCCGTTTTGGCCACCAGGCTGACTTGCTTCTCCTGCACCCCAGCCACAACTCCTGCGGCCTCCACCTAAGGCCCAAAGGCTCCCCGCCTGCCTCCACCCATTTGTCCTTTTGACTTCGCTGGCGCCACCTGCGCCACATCAGCTTCACAGCTCTTCCTTGTCGGGTGCTCCCCTCTCTCCCACTCTGACTCGGTGGCGAAGCCCACTGGCCAGGACAGGCTTTTTCCTCCCTGGTCGCCAGCAGACCCGCCACGGCCGGCACCACACCGGTACTCTCAGTGGCATCTTGCCACGGAATGGGCCAGGACTCTCCAGCAGCGAGGCTTCTGCCAAGCCAAGCCCGAGGATCGGGGGTGGAGGGCTCACAGGCCACTTCTCTGTCATCTGCGGGGGATCTGCACCTCACGTTTGGGCCACCTGCTAGGGCCACTCATGCCAGCCAGCACACTAGCTTTTCCAAGGTCCGCCAAGTCCTGAGCGGGTCGGAGTCCCTGATTGGGTTCCAGGCGCGTCAGCGGCTTTGATAGGGATGGCATGGAACCTTGAGCTGAGACTGAGGGAATCTGTGGGGATCGCTCCCCTGTGACGCCCCCAGGAAATGGGCCTCTCCATACGGTGAGCTTGAGCCTGGGCACAGATCCCTGGTTGGGGGAGTCGAGCTGAGGGAAAGCAGGAACCAAGAGAGGAACTATGTGTTATTCAAAATAATTAACAGACATTACTTTATGGATATGAGGACTTGCAAGGCATTGTGACCATTTTCGGCTCCTTATGGTTTATTGCTTGATTGTGTTCATTTCGGACCCTTGTTACCTTCGTTGTAAAATATTAAGTTTTTACACTTGGTAACTTACTTACCATAACTTACTGGGTGTAACTGTAACTTACTTACCATAGCTTACAGGGCGTGACTGTAACTTACTTACCTTGACCTATTGGGCGTAACCTACTTACTGGGCGTAACCTACTTACTGGGCTTAACTTATTTACTGGGCGTAACTTAGTGGGCGTAACTTGCTTACTGTAATTTAAGTACTTGATCTGGTGTAAACAACTTTGACTTCAGAAAAGTATATAATGAAACGTATTGCAAAAATAAAATGGCTGCATGGGCATAGCGCATGTAGCCCTCCAGACCTCGCTCTTTTCTCTCTCCTTTTTTTCCGGCGCAGGCTCTCTTCCAGGTTTGAGACCCTCTAGCTGGACAAGATTCCCGGGCTCGCGTTCAGTTCTCAACACGAGACCACTGGCTATGGCGCCGGGCAGGCGGAGCTGTGACTATCACTCTCTCGGCCGGATTCTGATTTTCTTCGTGCGGACCGGACATCGATGGGATTCCTGTGATATGTGGGAACACGTGTAGATTGCAGAGTGATGGACTGCGGGGATGTAGGGCATCCGTCCCGTCGATATCTGTCAGCTCTCCCTCTTGGGAACATCACAGGCGCTGTCTTCCAGCTCTTTGGAAACACACACTCATACACACATCACTGTTACCTATAGTCGCCCTACTCTGCGATGGAACATTGGAACGTATTCCTTCCATCGAACCGCAGGCTCGTACTTCTTTCCTCCAACCTCTCCTCACCCGGGTCTTCCACACGCCCTCTCCAGCCTCTGGTTCCTACCGTTCTGCGCTCTACCTCCACCAGGTGGACTTTTTGAGCTCCCACGATAGGAGTAAGGACCTGCCCTCTCTGTCTTTCTCTTCCCGGCTCACTTGACATTGCATCACTGACCTCCAGCTCCATCCGTGTTGCTGCAAAGGAGAGGATTCGTTCCGTTTGAAGGCCAAGTAGTATTCCCTGCTGTTTATATGCCACGTCTTTAATCCATTTGCCAGCCGATGGAGTCTTAGGTTGATGCGATGTTTCTGCAATTGTGAACAGTGGTGCATTAAACATGGGGGTGGGGGTATCCCTCTGATATTCAGATTCCCTTATGCTTTGGATGAATACCCATCGCATCCGTGGGATTGCCAGAGGCAGTGGTAGCTCTACCTGTAGTTATGTGTGTGGGAGGGGGTGGAGGAGACTAAGGGTCGGGTTGAGGTGCAGTTTCCTTTGTTTGTTACTTTGTTGTGTTTGGTTTGGAGAAATCTCCATGCTGCTTTTCAGGGTGGCCTGTGAGGGTCGCCCCTGCGAGAGGCTAACAACTTGGCCTCCGCCATTAAGTGAGCTTGATTCCTTACACACTCTCCCTGGCTGGAGGCTGTCCAGCTATGGGGAAGAAAAATTGGGAGAAGAATGACTAAACAGAACACTATTTTCAGCCTTCTTGGTTGATGAGATAAAGGCTGGGTGAAGTTGAAGTGATTCAACTGGGTATTGTGTTCCCCTTTCTGGCTTCTAATTTTAACATGTTCTATGACTTTGTTTACCAGGCATTGTTTCAGCCTGGTGACCTCCCCTGCGGCCCTTGTCTTTTGCAGATGCATGGTTTACTGCTGAGCTTGTGACTTCTAGATAATTGAAGATTGTTATCCGAGTAACTGGTTGTTCTGATAATATTGATAATCAGCATCACCTACTTCCCCCTTGACCTTTTAAATCAGTATCTGTCCCTTTTACTAGTTCCCCAGAATTGCTTTCTGTTTCTTTTGTTATTTAAGGAATGCTTTGATCTGACTTAACATTAAGTAGAAAAGTATATAATGGAACCTACTGCACAAATAAAATTGCTGTTTTGGGCATAGCCTAATCAGTCCTCCAGACCCCTCTCTCTGTCTTCTTTTTTTCCACGCATGGTCTCTTCCAGGTTTCGGACCCTCTCGCTGGACCTGGGCTCGTGTTCAGTTCACAACAGTGGCCGGCCTTATTCACCTTTCCACCAACGGTGCCTAATTCTTCGGTTTGGTCCGCCTGCTCTTCGGGATGGGTTATTTTCCCTGTGGGTTTAATGACAGTCATCCTAAGCGGGGTTGATGACAGCTCCTCCTGGTTTCCATTGGCATTTCCCTGACAATTGGCGAGGCTGAGGATTTTCTCTTCATACGCCCGTTGGTGGGCCATTCCTATGTGTTCTCTGCCCACTTTCCAATGGGATCAGATGGCGTACGCATGGCCTGGTGGATGCCTATTGGTGTGTGTTTTGGGGGGGCTGGGTGCGTGTATGTATGCATGTTCCCCCTCACTGTTGACATGTTTGAGTTTCTTGCCTATTCTGGATGTGACGATGAAGCTTGAGAGGTTCCGCTAGTTAGACCAACCTGGCCACGGGCGTTGAAGCGTGGAGATGCTGGAGCTGGTGGGAAAAACCCAGCAACCAAGGTGACCAAAGCACATGTGGAAAGTTGGGGTTCAGGATAGACTGGTAGTGGACATTGGTTTCCCATTTCTTCACCTTCGCTCTCTAACTTCTCCCCAGCTGGCAAGGAAAACATGGAGATGGCGCATATCCCCAGCGCCTAGATTTGCTGTGGAATTTCTTCCCATCCCCTCCTTAGCACAGATCAGCCCAGTTGTCCCAGCCTCTGTCCAGCCCATTATCGACCTTAGAGCTTGGCCGATCCCCCAAGTCAATGGCAGAGCTCAGTTGAATCCCTGCCGAAACTTTCCTTTGGGGCAAAGTAGAGGTCTCCGGGACCGCCGAAGCCTGTCCCTTGACATTCGGGGGATCTTGGCAAAGTCGGATTGCCTGCCGAGACCAGACCCTATCGGGGTGAGAGAGGCTTGGCATCCTCACGGGAGCCTGGCTTGCTTGCCAGCGAGATGTGGGTGTGTGTCAGTGCGTGATAGTGATGGACAAAGGTGTGTGTTCCCGTGGCTGGCAACCACCCCAGCACGGGACTAGGGTCTGACACCAAGGAAAGCACAGAAGCATGTCGACCAGGGACTGGGAAGCAGGAGAAGAAGTCCAGGGTGTCCAGGTGGTACACAGGCCAAGGTCTGAGAACGAAGCGGTCCAGTCAGAAGGAGGTTGTGCCAATGCCTGGGGCGTTGAGGGACATTGCGGGTGGCATGTGCCGTCTGAGGGATCCCAGGTGGTGGCAGTGCTGGTGTGTGTCTGAAGAGCCTGAAGGAAATCAAGACTGGGGGATGTGAGTCGTGTGAGAAAGAGGCACTGGTAGCCAGAGGGAAAGTTGGCTGTGCTGCTGCTGCTGTGTGTGTGTGTGTGTGTGTGTGTGTGTGCGCAAGAACGCGTGGGGTGGGGGGAGATAGAGCTGAGGGAAGGCTAAGCCTGGAGGCTGGAAGGAGCAGTAGATTTTCAGCGGGTTGGTCTGTCTGATCTCTGGTATGGGCAGGAACGAAGCTGGTGTGTTCAAAGATGACCCTCACGGGGGGAGACTGGGATGCTGTTGGGCCACGCGGTCAGAGTATGGAGTGGGGCTGGGGTGAAGTGGCAGTAGCAAGCAGCCAAAGGTAGGACAGACAGCGTGACAGAGCTACTGGGGGCCATGTCTCAGGTCTCAAAGTTGGGGGGGGATGCACCTGGACCGCAGACATAAGTAAGCAGCCTTCAGGACGCACATTCATGTCTCGGGCATGTATGTGTCTGGGGCTGAGATGAAAAGAGGTCCTAGCGACGGCAGCAAGGCGGGATCCTGGACTCAAATGGTGGATGGGGGTTAGGTTGAGAGAGGCGTGATGGCGGTGGGGGTGCCCTGTGAGCCTCATTAGCACAGAGAGTGTGGAGTGTCTGGAACACGATGAATGGAGGCTGTGCACATGCCACGTGTTTACTGGTGTGGTAGCATTTAGAACTGTATGACCCTCACCCCTACCCCCTGCAGGGAAACCTGATGTTTCTCTCCTCCAAGTCTCGACTTCCTCTCTACTGGAAGGGCATCCATGGCATGATTTTCTAGAGGTGGGGAGCCAGCGATGGAGAGAGAGTCAGAGGAGAGAGAGAGGGGGAGGTAGTCGTGGTGAAAAGTGAAGAGAAGAGGTGGGGTGAGCAGGTGCAAGCTCGTGCTGCCTGGCGGCATTCCTTTAAGTGAAATGCTTGTGGCAGAAGCTGTGGCAGGGCAGTGAATAGAAACAGGACCAGGAGGCTGCCAAAGCCTGGTGTCTGGCGCGCTCCTGGGTTTGGAGGGGGTGTTGTTACCGAGGTGGGGTAGGGCAGGGTGGCCTCATCCATTAGCCCAGACAGGCCTGGAGGAGTGCGCGGAGGCGGATCCCGCGTGGCAGCAGGGCCACAGCAGGACACGCTCTAGCGCCCCGAGCGTAAGCAGGTGGCAGAGGGGAGCGCAGCTATACGGTGGTGCTGCAGCACCAAAATGGGACGCCGCCCTGCGTGGGCCGGGGATTGAACCCAGGACTCCCGCGTGGCAGGCGAGAATTCTACCACTGAACCACCCATGCACCAATGACAGGTGCCGACGATAGCTGGCACAGGGGCACTCACCACCAGCCGCCCTTTACTGCTTACATCGAGCGGTGGGCGTGTGTCCCACTGTAGCGTCCACGAGAGGCTGGCCCTATGGGGTGAGCAGAAGGGGAAGGGGAGGCTTCCGTCACGTCACGTCGAGGGAAAATGGGCTCAACGCGGGGAGGGAGAGAGGCCTACTCGTCCCATCTTGCACTTTCTCTAACTTTAGGTTCGCCAGGAAAAAGACCAGCCCTGGCCCGCGGCCGAAGGCCCATGTGGGCAGGTGCGCTGTGGCGGGTCTTGCTGAGCGCGGATCCCCGGCCCAGACCCAAAGTCCTTTCCCGCCGGACTGGCCCTCCGCCGGGGTTGGGGGTGGCGGTGTCAGCGAAAGGGGGTGGTGAAGGGGCAGGAGTCTCGCAGCCGCTGCGTGTGGCTCAGAAATTCGGATCAAGTCCGTGGGATCCTCGCTTCTGCGCTCTGAACCGGCCCCTCCACCCCCGCTCTTGCTCGTACATGGTGCGGGACACCGATGGGCAGGTAGGGAGGCCACAATGCAGCAGAGGAGCGCTTTGGCAGAGCCGCAGCTGCTGACCCGGGAGAAGGCGCGCTGGGTGTGGATGGGACGGTCCAGGTCGCGGTTTCCCACGCGGAAATGCGGTGTGGCGCAGAGCTGGTCCCGGCGGGGCCTGGCCCTCTGTGGGCCCGTGACAGGGATCTAAAGCTTCCACCGGGATTCCTCGTAGGCCATGTTGCGGGTTTGGGCTCGCCTGCCAGGCTGTGCGCAGGGATGCCTCCGCCTCTGGTCCGCAGGGGTGCGGGCTGCAGGAGGACCGCCGGCAGGCAGGTGTTAGCGGTTAGGGCCCCACAAGGAAGGGAGCATAGTTAGCGCGGTGGGATCTGCGACCTGGGTAGGGTGTCCGGAGAATGGAATGGGCAGGCGGGGGCCGAGGGGTTGGAGGCAAGGACAGGATGTTGGATGGCGTGCCTCTGGTTGCGGAAGTGCGCGGGGCTCCACGAGCAAGTCGCTGCTGCTCAGCGGGCAGAAGTTGGAGGGTGCAAACAGGCGGGCCGTGCACTCCGGACGCCTGTGGGTAGCGCAGCGGCGATTCCAGGCGGTGGGCGGAGGGCGGTGAGCAGTGGGTGGTGGGCGCTGGGCGGTGGGAGGAAGGAGGGAAAAGGAGGAAGGCGAGATTATCAGGGCTGTGTCTGTTAGGGCGAGTGAGGAGAAGGCCGACGGAGGAGACAGTCAGGGAAGTGACAGGAAGGTGTTGGCCGTCCCTCTCGGTGTTTGGGCCAGATAAGAGGGCGCGTGAAGGGGTGGGGAGTGCGTCTGCCTGAAGGGCAATTGGTAGAGGGTCGGGAGCGCTGGCGCACAGTCCTGGGCTATTTCTCTGACTGCGGTGGGTGGGCGGGCAGGCAGGAAGAACGGACGTGCCTGAGAAGCGGCTGCGCTTCGGAGGCTTGCTTGAAGGGGACTGGAGTTTTGGAGCGTGGGCGAGGGCCCAAGGCGGGAACCGAGGCTCGGTGGTCCAAGGTGGCGGTGGGCGTTGCCTTCCGGCGGGCGGCCTGGCCAAAAGGTCCGCTTGGGGATTCGAACCCACGCCTCCAGGGAAGACTGCGACCTGAACGCTGCGCCTTAGACCGGTCGGCCATCCTGACGGCGTGCCGTGGAGCGTTGCGGTTCGCGTGCCTGGGAGCCGGCGCCCTTGGCCGCTGCGTTCCGTGCGCAACCGACGGATCGCGCGGGGGGAGCAGGCACCGAGTGAACGCAACCGGCTGGCTCTGGCGCGGACGCCCCGGCGTCCCCACCCCGGACCCAAAAGGTCCGCGGAGTGCAGGCCGCCCCTGCACGTCCCCGCCCCCGCGCCTCCGCCGGCTGTACCCCCGCAGGGCACGCGCCCACCAGGTCCTAGGAGCAGCCGCCTGGCGGTTTCGCCCGCGCCTCTTCCTCCCGGCGCGATCCCAGCGTTGGAGACAGCAGACAGGGCGCACGGGGAGGTTCCACGCCACTCGGACCCGGAGCTGTCGGGGTCCCGCTCCGGATCCAGGTGGGATCGCAGGGTGCTTTGTTGGGTGTCAAGTTAGGTCACGCCACCGGTGGTGGGTGGCGAGTGGCAGGTTGCGGTGGCGGATGACAGGTCGCGGGAGGGCGCGTGCCGGGCCCCTGCGGTCGGTCGGCGGAAGGGATCAAGGCAGGGCTCGGCGTCCGCGGTCGGAGTGGGGTCTGGCGTCCCGTTGGCCGTCACCGTCGTCCTCGTTAGTATAGTGGTGAGTATCCCCGCCTGTCACGCGGGAGACCGGGGTTCGATTCCCCGACGGGGAGGCAGCAGTCCTTTTTGGGCCCCCGCCTCGAACCCAGCATGTGTGCCCAACCTATCCTCCTCCCCGCCTGCTCCAGCGAGCCGCAGGGCGCCATCTCGGGCCTGGACTGCCTGGCCCCTTGGTCCCCGTAGCCCCCGTGGCGCCCGTGGCCCCCTTGGCCTCCTGCACCTCCTGAATTTTCTTGACCACGGGCGCTTGGTCGCCACAGCTTGGCGGCCTCCTCTCGCCGCCACGGCTCCCAACGAGCGGCCGGCCCAAAGTGGCTGTCGGAAGAGGCTGCCTACCTGGCACCGCCCCGGGCCGGAAGAGTGAGGACCCTGTGGGCCCGCAGCGGCTGTGGCCCCGCCGGGCACCTGGTGAACCGCTCTGGCGGCCCCGGGCAGGGAGAGAGAGAGAGCGCCCCCTATGGGAATCGCCCCTTCCAGAGACTAACAACATGGCCTCTGTCATTAGGTGAGCTTGATGCCTTACACACTCTCCCTGGCTGGAGGTTGTCGAGCTATGGGAAAGAAGGAATTGAGAGGAGAGTGACTAAGCAGGACACTATTTTCAGCCTTCTTGGTTGATGCGATAACGGCTGGGTGAACGTTGAAGTGATTCAACTGGGTATTGTGTTCCCCTTTCTGGCTCCTAATCTAAACCTGTTCTACGACTTTGTTTACCAGGCATTGTTTCAGCCTAGTGACCTCCCCTGCCGCTCTTGTCTTTTGCAGATGCATGATTTACTGCTGAGCTTGTGACTTCTAGATAATTGAAGATTGTTATCTGAGTTACTGGTTGTTCTGATAATATTGATAATCAGCATCACCTACTTCCCCCTTGACCTTTTAAATCAGTATCTGTCCCTTTTACTAGTTCCCCAGAATTGTTTTCTGTTTCTTTTGTTATTTGAGAAATACTTTGATCTGACGAAAACAACATTAAGTAGAAAAGTATATAATGGAACCTACTGCACAAATAAAATTGCTGTTTTGGGCACTGCCTAATCAGTTCTCCAGTCCCCGCTCCTCTGTCTTCCTTGTTTTCCGCGCACGCTCTCTTCCAGGTTTGGGACCCTCTCGCTGGAGGAGACTCCCGGGCTCGCGTTCAGTTACCAATAGTGCCAGAGGCAGGCAGGCAGGCGGTCCGACCGGAGCCGCCACGCTCCCGTGGGGCGCGGGGCCGCCTTAGGCGGTGCTGTGGAAACGCAGAGGGCAGCGGCGGCCGGGCGGTCGGTCGGACGGACGGACAGAGGGACGCAGCGGCCAACTGGGCTGCGCCAGACTTAGGCGACGTACTCGCTCCCGGGAGCCCCGGGTCGGCGTGGCGTGGCTGCCCGGGCGTGCGGCGTTGGTGGTATAGTGGTGAGCATAGCTGCCTTCCAAGCAGTTGACCCGGGTTCGATTCCCGGCCAACGCAGCGGCCCACCTTTTGCTGGGGTCTCGAGCGCCGGAGCCCATGTTGTGTCCGGTCTTGGCCTCTGGC